AACTGGCCTATTCTGGAGGCAGATGCCAAATGGGGGTCTTTCCCATGGAAAAATTGCTGGAAAGAAGAAAGATAAGACTAGAATATCTCTTGTCGTTACAACAAATGCAGATGGATCAGACCGATTACCTTTATGGTTAATTGGAACTGCAAAAACACCACGTGCGCTCCGGGGAGTCAATTTCCAAGCTCTAGGATGTGTCTGGCGTTGGAATAAGAAGGCGTGGATGCGTCAAGACATTATGAGGGAATGGTTATATGCTTTTTATAGGCGTATTCCTATACATAAGAAAGCATTATTGCTTTTGGATAATGCCTCTCCACATATTGCTGGTCTGAAGTCTATCCCACCACCTGCTCATATTAGGGTTCTTTTTTTCCCCGCAAACGCAACTTCTATATATCAACCTCTAGATCAAGGGATTATTCAAAATTTGAAGCACTATTATCGGAAGAAATGGATGCGCTGGATGATTGCTATCCTTGATCGAGGTCTTGATCCACAAGATCGTATGAATATATCTTATACACTCTTTTGGTTAACCCAGGTTTGGAAGAGCTCAATATCAGATCAAACGATTGAGAATTGCTTCAAAAAAAGCACTTTAATACGTTCTGAAGATGAGACCAAAGCTATCCAAGATGAGATAGAAGCTGGTTTTCAACCAATTCCTGAGCCAGGGTTAACTAGTGAGGTTCAAGCTCTATATAATGAAGCAGTTGAGAAGCTTGGTCATGATGATATCATACCATTTGATCAATTTTTGAACCCTATAGAGGAAGATATTATATATGAAGATGAGACTGATGGGCAAGATATATATATTGATATAGAGAGCTCGGAAGCACAAGATATTGAAGAAAATGGGCCTCCACCAGAGATTCTGTCCAATTCTGATATAATGGGTCATCTACAGGATATATTACTATGGGTTGGAAGCAAGGAAAAGAGCACATCAGACCATATACGTCAGGTTGAGAGCTTAATCAGCGAGTTTGGCAGGATTCAGGTCGAGGAGAAGCGTCAGGTGACCCTAGAGGATATGGGATGGAAGCCTAAATAGGCAATGGGGCTAAGGGCTAGCTAATTTATTGATTATGTCATCCTCTCACTTATTGCACCTCCCGCTTATTGCACATGATTTTCCTTGGATGGGAGGGTGTGCAATAAGTGAGAGTTGACTGTATCTGTCCGCCCGCTGCGTATTCTTCAGAATGGGAACCCCTGGGAGCATACGTGGATATAGGACTAGAATCGATCGAATGGTAGGCCACTGTAGCCCACTCAGGATGAGTTCACGTGCTCTGCTTGTCGGCGAGGTTCATCCGAAGCGAATCGCCACTCCGTCAGTATGATCTGAATCATAGGCTGGGATTGATTCGGATGTGATCTAGCCAAACCCAGTGGGGTCATACGAGGTCTATCGATATTTTGTGGCAAGCGCAGGGTCGATCATCCGGTTTGCAGGACGACCAGAAACTTGATTGTTGCCCTCGAAATCCAGCAGGCCATGGTCAGGTAAAGTATGCATGTTGCGACGTGTCACCGCCGTAATCCTCCAATGATAGATATCTCAATGGTGCGCAATGCCAGCGGTCAGGTCTCGAGCTTCAAGATATAAATCAATCATCCCCCAAAATTTTCCCATCGGCCCTTTCAATTGGTTTAAACCCGAGTTCACTTTGTCGCGTAATACCGACATCAACCCACTTCAGTAACCCAGTTCCAACATGGAGGGAAACCAGGAGGGAAATGGTACTGAAGACTCAAACCACCCTCGGCGAGCGTGGGAAAATTCACCGCCTCGAAAGTGCGAGGTAGGTCGCCATCAGGAAGAGAAATTACGCCGACCCTCGCACAATACTGAACTTCTATAGCCGAAGGATTTTTCTTCTCGCATCATCCCGGGGACAAACAAACAAGGTCCCTAGCCCTTGGTCATTGGTCATTTTGAAGGCAACTTAGCTGAGTTCGAACACGTTTAACGCAGGTCAGCCACCTTCGGTGAACACCGGTTACAACTCCTTCCATGGAGAGCCCGGTTCTACCATAAACGGGTCATCTAGAATGGAGGGCGATGGGGGTGGGAGCTCTTTAGCACACACTGGTAATACAGTCAATGAACACGATTCGCAAGGTAACTGCGTTGGTCGCGCTGTGAAAGACGAAGGCAAATTGAGCCATGTGAACATCGACCCCGGCTCTTTTATTCATTTCCTTTGTGGAAAAGACCTGGGCAGGTAATTGAAAGGCCTTGTCATTAGGCAGCTTAGGGTTATAGAGGTGCCAATCGAAACATCAATCATGGAATATTTTCCCCCTGCTTATGCACAAAAATCATGAACATAAAAAGAGGCATTTGGAAACACGGTCGCATATTTCTGGTTCTTCCTCGCGGTAGCGTTGTCGGTCGGAAGAGTCAGCCCTGTTATGCTGTACATCGCGACCAGTGTGATGAATGCACTATTTGGACTCTAGTTAGTTGAAACGAATACATACGAGGGCAGTGCATGAGAGTGCAGTAGTTGGTGAGCCGAGCCGAGCTCAGAACATGGCTACCCCAAACCCGGGCCGTTGGGGGAAATATTGGAGGTCAAAACGCCGATAGCGATGCAGCCGCCAAAATTTGCAGGCGGGCTGTAGTTCTGGTGTCTGTTTATTGTCCGCGCTCGAAAGTTTCTCTGGACCAGGAAGTACCAAAACAAGAAATAGCTGAAAGTTTGAGTGGCCGCATTAGTTATAGCCTGCAAGATCCTGGGATGGCAGTATCGTATGTATCAGGCGCCATATTCATGAGGTGTCCCACAAGACACCTGGCGATTTGGTGGATGAATTAGGTATTTGAGGCACCCCTGGCTATGACGATCCAACCACGAGACTCAATATGTAAGGAAAGGATGAAATAGAAAGTGATGCCAAACACAGCGAATGGAGATCATTCGTGGAGATTGATCCATGCTGATCCGATCCCTAGGAGGAAGATCCCAACCGGAACGTGCAATAATCAAGGCAAAATAAAGCATCTCTAAAGAGCGACTTGGCTACGAATAATGTGGGTTCTATCCTTATTGGCATTTTCTGACCCTCGAATAGATACATTATTGAGGTATCTCGCAGTAGGGACAGAGCATGGCATCGGGATGAACAGCTTCTCAGCGTATGTACTGCTGGATATTTTGTTAATTTAAAGTGATGGCTGCGGAGGAAGCATCAGCCTCTGTTTTTATAAGTCATGTAGATTCTCATTCTGCGTAGAGTAGGAATACTGAAAGAAGATTGCGTTTCTATCCCCCAAGGCTAAAATAGTTTCTGAGCCAGGGATATTTCAGAAGCCAAGGTATCTGGTCCGAGAGGTACAGTATTTTCCAATTTTCCATTGAGAATTTACAAGGGTAACTTAGGCTATTATAAGCTGAATTTGACGAGCACCTCAGTCTATCCTCTCTCCACATCGCTCTTGCCAGTGTGAAGTTTTTAGAACACTGCTAATCAAATTGACTCCTCTCCTCTTTATTTCTCCCTGGCCTGCGAGATACATAAAACCTTCCTTTCAAAGCCTGAGAAGCTAACAGGTCCAGGTAAGTTTGTGCACAATAGCGGTCAATCTCCTTATGCTACATCATCTAAGCCAAGATTTGTAGACCTTAACAGCTCCACTGAGCTGTCACTACAGCTGTAGTCGCAGCCTCTCCGATAACTTCGTACTCGGCCCACGGGCGTGTTTTGAGCTCGCCATTCTACCAGAATTTAACCCAGATCTCGTCTTCCAAGCATCTTACATTTACAAAAATGATAAACTGCTTCTCTCTTAAGCTTATGAAATTCAACATGCTAATAGAAACGTACCTCATTGAAGTTCTCGTCGCACCGCCGGCGGTTCCAAAACCTCAGGTTTCGTAGACCCTTGCTACAAAACATAAAAACGGCAGAACACCTGAGTAGAACAGGTTGTGGCATTGATCCTGGGGTCTTGAAGATCAACAATTTGCTACAGACCAAATAGTTATCTTCCTGGGGCGTAAGCTTTATATCAGTATGTACTTGGGTCGCTTCCTAGAGTGCGACTATATTTCAACACATATGATATCACTTTCCTATTGGAGCGATGGTAGTGGCTACAGAACGCGAATCGGAAACGTTAGGCCCACGACAAATCTTCCGCCGTCGGCATGGCAGGCATGCAATTTCTACGCTCTTGGAGGCATTTTTGGGTTCTTGTATTGATATGGCCTATTTTGTAGCTATTCGAACTTGTTGAATAGCTACAAAATACTTTCTACATGGCTTTAGCTTGTAGTTTGCGGGGTAGGAGGCCAAGGAAATTTTCACTCTTCATCTGGCTCGAAAAACCTAAGTCGGCTCAGCCAAGCTTTCCTACCTAGTTCTACAGTCCATAGGGAACATTAGAAAGTTTTCAGACTCCAAATTTTGGAATGACTAGCTGAATGTCCTAAATTAGCATCTCGACCGGGAGGATGCCCGGCAAGGTCCCTGGGTCATCATCGGCACCTCGTTATATCATACAATAATTCATAATAAGTCAATGGCAAGCTGATTCAAAGCTTTGTAGAAATTTCCTTCCCAGATTCTACGTGAACTCCGCAGACCGACCTCACCATTCAATTGATGCAAAATGATCCCGAGACATGGGTATAAATAGAGACAGAAATTGATACCACAATTCAAACAATGACCAACTGTATCCAGTGGGTATATCAAATCAGATGCTATCTCCGATCGCTCTACAGTGTCAGCTCGGGCAGAGGATACTCCATACAAGCAGCATCCTGCTTCAGCCATGAGAAAAAGTCCAGAAGAACATCCTTGTTGCTTTGGATCATAACAAGACCTACTGTTTCCGTATCGCTCGGGTCATAATTTATACAGTTTCGAATCTGCTCTTCTGTAGCCCAAACGTAGTCGAGATATTCGTCGTTCCTCAGCCGGATTGGCGTTTCATCCCAGCCACGAGGCCCATCATATTCATCGGACCACAAACGTTAACTCTTCATATTCTCGCTAGTCTTCGCTATGGCCAAATATTTCGCCATCCAATTTTCTTTGTGAAGGAAAGTGACGCGGTAGACCCGGGTCGAAGCGGCCCAGAGTACCAATTCAGTTTCCTCAGCAATCTCACGCACCATAGTATCCAAAATTGTCCCGTCTTCTGGCAGTGCCCCACCACCGGGAGTCTCCCATGTCCAAGGAAAGGAATTCTTTTTCGGCTCTCCGTCGTCATCTATACCATTAGGAGAGCACTAGCAGAGTAAGATATGGGGCGTAGACGGATCATCTGGACGAAAGCCAAGTATTATAGCACTACCACTAACTCTCTCGATACCATTGCTTGGGCGAGAAGCACAGAAAGAGGAACATCGATATCCTCGATAGATAGGGTTGTGTATGACATGATGGGTGGAAGTCCTATGAATTACATTTCAAAACCGCGTTGGAGATATTTATATTCTCAGAACCATTGGAATAAGTGTAATCCGATAGTAGAGGCCTTATCGGCCTGCTAATGTAATGTTTTGGGACTTCTAGGTCAAGCGAGTGGCGAACACGACGATAGGATTTCTCAGTTGGGGTGTAAAATGGCAATACAAAAACTTTGAATTACGCCGCATTGCGGGGGCTGACTGGCGAACCCCAGCTCCTGCAAGCATCAGCCCCTGCATCGCTAGTCACCGACGATCACTATACTTAGGCATTGTAATTATGGGGCTCGAGAGATCATAAATTATCGCCCGAAGCTAGTAACAGATCATTCTGAAAGTCTTGGGTCAAATCCACTGCCCACATAGTTAGGACCAATCACTGACTCGCTTCTTGAGCTTGCTCACCTTATTTCCATTTCAAGACGAACTCCAGTCGGAAGCACTCATAGAAGGAGTACGCGCCCTTTCGACCCCTACCCAAAGGCAATTCTTTCTCCGGTATTGTTGCGTTAAGGGCAGTAAAATAATAAGGAAGAAACATTGCACAATTTGGACCCTTGTACGCGAGACCCGTGTGGACATCATCCTTCCGTTGGTCGCAATGGTAATAGAACGCCTTTTTAGTACTGCAGAGAACCAAACAGAGAGGACAAACATAATACTTCTTGGCATTCCTGACAATTTTCCACACAATCGCAAGACTCTTCTCCAAAGTGTTGAATTTAAACAGGCCCTTTTTTTCCAGGATCAAATCGATTTCAAAGAAAGTGTAGAATGGCCGACGCCCAGATCGTCGTTCCGTCTCCTTAAATTTGATTGGGAAATCATCCTTCGAGATGATTTCCCAGCCCATGGCTATTCGATAGCTATCCAAAAATAGGGGGAAATCTCCCTCTCTTTTGGACAACCCTTTGTGAACGCTGTTACAGTCCTCCTCGGCATCGAAATGCTTGTAGAGCACGTCCTGGTCACGAAACCCCAGATCACATTCAACGCAGATGAACCCCAGTCCCGAGCTCTTTACTACGTCTTTTAGGACGCAGTATTCTCTCAGGATATCGAACATCTTGGAGTCGTAGCATTGGCCAACGAATATCGCAATGAAAAAGAAGTTAGAGTATTCCACTTGAGCATTGAGAGAAGCCTATCGGGCTGATTATATTGTATCCAGACCTGCGAGAACCAGCATAACCCCCTTTTATATACGATATAAAACTCGTATATTTATAGTAGGCATCGAGCCAAAAACGTTTGGAATCGAGCTTCGTTCATTCGTACTATGTAAGAAAACTTGATTGACACCGTGCATCTAGCCGCTAATCACGAAATATCCTTCTCGAAAGCTTTCATTTACTTTTGTTATGAAGGCTTCTACTATATACACAGTGGATTTTGCTCGAGTCTAGAGGCTACCGGTGAGCTTTGGTTGTCTTAAATCAGTATCCAGAATAGGAGCGTGATCTAGTGAAAGGGCAAGCAGATCTGATGTAACAGTCTACCAGAACATCAAGTTCAATTAACTGAAACTGGAGTTCTGTCGAGAAAATCCGGAAAGTGCCTTAGCTGCATAGATTCTAACAAAGCAATTTTGTGGTCAGAAAAAGATATTTATGGCTAGGTTGCTACCATATCGAAGGACAGCCAATGGGCCGCATCTAACCTGCCACAGTGGATCGCAAATTCCCGAAGAAACTGTTGGCCATGTCCAGCATATGGAAATGGGAAATTATTTGCCAAAAGCCAGTCCAAAACAGAATCGGGATCCGGATGAAAGAGAAGAAAGTCTTGCGGAGGTAGGCAATTGTTCATCCAGAGCCAGTCAAAAAGAGATGTTAGTTCTGAATGATAACGAATCATATCAAGCCAAAGAGAAGAATCTTTCTTCACCACATCAGCAAGATTTATGCCTCTCTAATACAAACGAGAGGCTAGACCCATACTTGCAAATCGGCAAATGCTACAGAGTTCATCTTCCTGGAGAATCCCTTCTAAGTCCAGTTACATTTGGTCGACCTTCTCCCAACAGATACAAAACACAACCACGTTCGTCGCCGCTAGTTGAAGAATTGACCTCCCATCCCACATTTCTGCCACCGATACAGGAGCAATAAGATAGATCGGACTCATCACAGATATCATGTATTTCGTCGTTTCGATAGCGTTTGCCTGAAAGGCAAGAAAAAAGAGGCTATATCCAAAGCTGTTGTAGTAACATAGCCGAATAATACCTTGTCGGATCAGAAATTGGAAGGCACCTGGGGACTCATATACACAGCACGAGGCAACATCTGGATGCTCTTGCTCACTTTGCAGGCACTCCTGGTCGTCCACAACTTAATCAAAGTCGGGAAGAAGGTTCCAACGAGCAACAGCAGACCTACAAGCCCAGTCACTTTGGAAAAAGACGTCCAAGTCAAAACGAGCATCAGGGTCGGCTTGCTCATAGTATCCCAAGATATAATACAGCGCTTACTTCGATGTGAATATGTCGGAGCAGAAAAGGCAATCAATATATGGCTCAAGCCACCCATAGCTACACGTTCCGTTTCCAATTTGAGGCCTTTTTTCATTAAAGAATCGGTCGGCAACCTCCATAGAGTGATAGCAATTACAGAGAAAAGAGGGTAATACAGAAGGATAGATGTCTCCCCTTTCCAGAAGGTATCATTTCATTTAAGCTAATTATATAGCTTATATCTCCTGACTCAGATGCTGAGCTATGTCTTGGCTGCAGCTTCACCACCGGAAGGATGAGCGGACGAAGTTTCTTGCACAATTGACCCAACTAACTAATTGCTTGGATCTTTCAAAATGAATGTAGCTTTGGGTGCCGCAAGTCAAGTCTGATGAACACATAGGACTATTCACAGTTACGGCCCTTTTATCGACTTGAATTTCTCCACTGAGTATCTTTGCTGTCTCTGAAACTCTGATTTCGTGCGTTGTATTTTCATTTCGTATGTGAAGTGACTCTTGGACTTTCTGGCTTGTCGTGTCACTTTTGAGGTGAATGGCCCAGTCTGATCCGTTGTTTATCTTGGTATTTTAGCTAAAGGAGATCACTTAAAGGACTTTTCATACTATACCAGAAGAAGATCCAAGTTTCCCAGAGCAAACTTTGCTGAAATGGCAAGAGTAGAATTAATTATCGTTCTGTTTGTGAGTTGATTTGGATTGTTAATCACACAGTGGCGGGGAACTAGTGGATGGAACTGTCTATTTATGAAGGAGCGCTCTATGAGATCTTCAGTCTTTGATGCATTGGAAAGTGGATTCTAATCGGAAGTATACCATGCTGTAGATTGCTTTCTGACTAGGTGGGAAAGAAGAGAAGGGGCCTGAGCAACCAACCGTTGCAAATGAGGCAAGCCTCGGGTATAGAAAGGTGGTCCGCGACTATAATCCCAAACATATATCCGATTTTTCGCTTACTGGAGATGAACTCGTACTTTCAGGTCCCAGGTGTAATCTATGAGTTTGCTATAACACTCAATCCTGATGCAAGTGGAATGAAAAGAACCTTGATGGGCTTTGAAATTTTACTGCCATAACTCGTCGGACTAGTGTTGTGGCCAAAATAACACTTGTGGAGATCGCCAATCATCAATGAGTTATCTGATTTGTTGATCAACCACTAGGACCTGAATCTGCAAAGAAAATTTACTGAGGTTCCGATGTAACGTCTCTTGCTCACACGAACTGAGGTGATGATCTAGCTCTGGGGACCACGATTCATTGCTTCCAATTTCATTATCTGTCGCTCAAGCTCCTGGATACGTTGTTCCTTCTTCACAATCATGTCCCGGAGGGAATCTGCCTCCATTTGTAGAATATTGTCACGAGAAAGGCATGTAGCTTGGTTGCGATTGTCGTGGGGTTTGAAAGAAACGTCCTTTGGATTACCAGCCTGGGCATATACGTCTCCTCCTTGTTCGAGATGGTCATTGGTTTCTAGTTTATGCATACGCCGCATATGCTCTCGCAGGTTTTCAGCTCTCTTGAAAGGCTTGTTAACGTGGCGATGACATCCCTTATATGGACAAAAACGGGAATACCCGGGCTTTTGACCGCTATGGTAGCCCTCTCGTTGATGCCGCAGATAGTCAGTATACAAGCCGAAGCCTGGCGTTTTCTCACAACCAGATTCGTGACATTTGTAGGGTCGCTCATACTTGTCCATGTGTCTGCTGATTCTATTGTCATTTTCGAAAGCTAGTGACCTTTTGAGGCATCATAGCACATACTTCCATTCAGATGGAAGACAAAATGTGGGTGGGTTAGCTTGGCAGTCAGAATACTCACAGATAATTTCTCCGTTCTCATTTCGTGTAGGCTCTTGGTTTCGTCTAGCGGTGATACCATGACAATAGTGATTCGCCTCCGGGAATATTTGGTCGTCCATTTGGAGGTCCGACATGAGCGGTTTGAAATAGGCCTAGCACCTTATTTAGTCCAGCATCATTTACGACGGCTTTGGATGAATTCCAATACCATCTGGATAGAGGGAAAAGCCCCAATGACACAGTGTGTGCCGCTTTAACAACTTCAACGTAACGCACCGATGGCTGCTAGGGTTTTTTTTTCAACACAATAACGCTTCGGAATGGAAAGGAGGCAATTCACTCTAGGCAAGAAATGGAACAAGGGCAAAATTCAACAAAGTTGAAACGAAAGAAAGCCGACTCTCCGAACTTAAGGACAGGAACGAAAAAGGTAAAGCAAAATACTCGCCAAGGATAGCAGAAAGTCAAGTAGAAGAGCAGTAAGATAAAAGCACTTTGCAAAGCACTAGTCTCGAAGGTTATATACAGAAAAATCTTTAGTACCACTCATTCCACGTTATCAGAGAGTCGCCCCAAATTTTGGGCAAAGCAGTCAGCATCCACGGTCTGAGACTGAAGAATCTCGTTGGTCAACTCAGGTCCATCCTTCTCCAAGAATATGCCAAGAATAGAGGGACACAATTCAATTGGTGGTATAAATCCATTCACAAGAAGCCTTGCAACGGCTATAATACATTCCATATCTTGGTCCTGCTCGCTCTCACCCATGAGCTTGTTAACAAGGCTGGCAGGTGCATATTTTATGCACCCGTCAAGTATCTCGCTTAGATCTTCTTTCGATATCGCTCTGTTCAAAATTGCGGCTATGTACTAGGCAACATCCCTAAAGTTTATCTGAATACGTGGAGGATGCAATTTGGTGGCCCTATGTTTGGTGACTTATTGAAAGTTGAGGTTAGCACAACGACATTTATAACAGAAATATTTCATACACCACGCATTTATTATTAGTATCAAAGAATCATTTGTCGACAAGTGTTGGCGATATTCGGGAGCCATTAGGATATTAAACGAAGTAGCAGGTTTCATATCCAGATAATAGACAAGAGACTTTTATATCTGGTCTGATATAGGCAGGTAGAACACTTGTCAAAATGGCTCAGAATTGTTTTGGAGACACACCAGGCTACATCAATCTATTCTCACAATCAATCAATATCTTGAGGTCGGGCCTTTCACAAACAGTTTATCGTCTGGACCTCCATCTAGGTACAACATCGAGAACCATTGTGTGATTGGAGTTTCAAAGGCTTTGAGTAGAGTCTATACAGCGCCAAGTAGGCTACTCGACCAACAAGCGCCATACAATGTACAAAAATAGTAGTAAGATTCTCATCCATTCTCTAGCCCTTTTTACATTCAACTATACAGTACACTAGTTATTAATAGGCTGGAATGACAAAACAAGTAATTCAAGAGGGCCAGTACGAATAATCCACTCCCAAACATCAAAGGAGATAACCAATGTCCAGCTGGCGAGCAAATCATTGAAGGTAGAGAGAGGTCAAACTTTCTCCAGAACTCCCCTCCTCCAGGAGTATCCCCCACAGTAGATCTCATTATCCCCATACAGACTCCAAATTCCGCCATAACTGATTTCGATCCGGACCATGACTTCACGCTGAAGATACAAGACAATATAGTTAAGGTATCCCATTTAACTGAATCGAAAGTTAACAGATTAGAAAAGGTAGTACAAAGTGTCTCGGAGAAGGCATCCAAGTTTGTTCCGTTGAGTATAGGAAGGGGTTCGCAACATCATCGTTACATAGAAATAGCCAATTGCAACAGATCCAGGTTAGAGGAAAGGAAATATTTTGATACAAGCTACATTAAAGCTAGGGTGAGACATAAGTAACTAGGATCGTTGTCTTCTAACTATACGTTCAAGTTAGCTTCCACTGATTTTTTTTCCACCCTTTCCTGGAACCTTTGTGGCATAGGCATTGAATTATTCACAGTCAGAATTATATTTAGTCGAAGAGCAATATCAGTCATAGAGAACTCACTTAATAGCGATAGCGAGAGACGAGATCTATCAAATTCATTCGGGAAGTCGACAAAAAAGCTCCTGGACTGAGCGTAGAAGCGTTAGCATAGCTATAGTAAATAGGGAAGACTGCAAAAATTGTATTCCGCAAATTATATCGCTGTTCGTCATGGAAAATTTGGTAATCCAGCATTACTTTTCATTAAATCATACCAAGTTCCAAGGGCGACTTACTCATAATCGCCACGTCCAGCGGGACAAGAGGGCAAGAGATAGGTTACAGATGTCGCGCAATTTAGGCCCACTTCTGAATATCTTCCTTTAACACAAGAGTATTCTCCTTTAGGATCTAACGATTAGCACCAAACATTAAAGCTAAAAACGGTATAGTCCAACATTGGCGCTCAGACCTCGCGTTCCAGTACCGTATTACTTCATAAGAAATACCGAGACATTACGTATCGTCGGCCACTGCAGGATTAAAAAGATATTCATATACTAATTCATCGAGCCATTTTATATTAGCACAGTCTGCTCTAATCACTATAAATCTGTAAAATATACGGAGGTCCATTCCAAAAGTCTTTCGATATTTGCTTTTTCATACCATGCCTAATCTAGCCTAGGTGTTTTTTAACCAGTATTCAACTGGTTTAATACCCCCTACCCTCTTTATATTCATTACCCCCTTCTAAACGTATAATCGTTCTATCCACTACTGAATACACTCCTGCGGTAGTGTATGCCATGCCTCACCCCACGCCTTGATCGCATCTGCCCTACTCTTCGGTGCACCCTTCTTAGTAGTATAGCACTTCATCCACGGCCACGCAGGCTCAATAGCATTCAAATCTGGTGAATTTCCTGGCTAAAGAAGGCGTGAAACACCAGCTATATCAAATACTACTTGCTGATACGTATGCACATGCGCAGGAGCTTTATCTTCCTGAACAAGAGTATTAGGCCGGTCAACCATACAATCTTGTGCAAAAGGTAATAGCTTTGGCACTAGGATTATAGTATTATATCGATACCAGTCAATTCCACCTTTGGCTTTGCTTCGAGTAAGCTTCCCAGTCTTAGTAGTAAATCGCCATATTGGCTTTTTACCAGGTGTTTGACCTTGAAGGTTAATACGCCGAATACCACTTATAAGCTCCCACTCAGCACGTAGCTTAGGTTCAAGATCAGTATTCCAAGTATCAATTAAAGCCTCAGAGTTTCGACGCTAAGCAGCAGTCTCAGGAAGCCAACAGTGATAGGGGCCTTTTTTGTCATAGGAAAAGCTACCCCAGAACATAAATTCAGAGCTTCCTTCCAACGCTCTCGGATACAGCTTCGAAGAAAAGCCTCATCTTTCGTACGCCAGATCCGATAGCTTCCACGGCGGTGTAGTAAGATCACAGATGTTTCATCAGTCCAGATCACGTCTTTAAAATCCTCAAGCGTCCAGTGTTGATGCTCAAGACACCAGTTTAATCGATCAGTTCGCATTCGATCTGTTAAGCCAGGTTTTCGTGTAGGTTTAGTCTTCTTTCGACCAGCGTTTCGTAGCACACGCCATACAGTCGTAGCGGAGATATCAAGTAGCTCGCTAGGGATATCAGCGCAGGTTTTTTCACGTCCATATCGATCACGCCAAACCTTAGCAACTACAGCAGTTTCAAGCGCAGCTGTCTGTTTCTTTGGACGGCCAGATCGAGTAGCATCAGCAACATAGGCATCAACCAAGGTGAAAGGTCGTTTCGAAGGATCAAATCCGCGCTCAATAGCACGATTGTATATTGTTTTAACTAGACCTGTACATGGCCCATGGGCCGGCCCATTTGGGTCGGCCCAATTGGGCCATCGGGTCAAAAACCCGGCCCATAGCCCATTAATGGGCCGGCCCAAAACGGCCCAATGGCCCAAAGATAGGGCTTTTTCTAGGGCTAACATGCGTTGCATAAAATATGAAGATTAAGCGAGATCTTGGCTGTAATGCTGTGGTTTCGATAATAAAGTGATTCTGTGATACAATAGTGATTTTTATATTGAATCAGATACAGTGAGAGCAGAGATGTGAATGAAATTATAGATTATATTAAGTAGTATATCCCTGTAGCCGTATCGATGGTATCCGGGCCCTCCCTGAAGCACGCTGAGTATTAGATTGCTTAGGTAGTAGAGGCTCTTCTTCCGCAGAGCCTCCTGCCTCATCTGATGTATCCTCTTCAGCTTCATAATTATCTCTTTTTCGCTTTGTATGATGCTGTAGAGGAGTCTTCTCCTTCTCCTCCTCCTCCTCCTCCTCCCCCCTCACTAATCTCTATGATCTCCTGTAGAATATGCTTTGTGGTATCCTCCTGTTGAATATCTATCTCGTACTCTGTTTTATATTCTCGTATAAAAGCAAGTTGCTCCTCCTCAATATCAAATCGATTAGCACACATGAGCAGCATGAGATCCTGAATAGTCGTTGCATGGAGAGAGCCGCGGCGATAATGACAGATATCGCGGGCAGAATTGAATAAGCGTTCTACACCTGCACCGGTAGCTGGGACAGAAAGCATGTCTCGAGCAATTGCTGCAAGCACTGGGAACTGCTGCTCATGGTCCCTCCAGAAATCAAGTGGGGAAGTGAGTATAGTACCTATTGAATGAATAGTTAGAGAGGTATGTATTGAAACTGTGTTTTGGGAGAATACTTACCCCCTTCAGATACTGATGGAGCTCTGAGAGTGGTACTGCGGGTCGAGCTCCATAACTATCAAGCAATATTTCAATCTCTTGAACAGGCTGTGGGTAAGAAGGCCCTTCAGATTGTGAGCAAGTATCATGGAGTTGAACTTCATAGGCAAGAACTTGCTGCTCGAGTGCTGCTTTATATTCACCTGCAAAGTCCTTATCTTGCCATTCAGGGGTCTGAAAGAACTCAAGCTTATACTGCGGCGCTAAGATAGTTCCATTGGTATATATGTTGATAAGCCCTGGAGTATCGGTCGCTGAGTAGTAGTCCTTGAGCTTATCTCTTGCTTTGTCCAGTGCCTGAAGCATCTGACGTTTCCATAAGATCTTCTTGTGGCACAACTGACGCTGGCGGCTCTCAAGATGCTCAAACAGACGATTATAGATACTGAAAACCATGTGAATTGTAATGCCTTTGGTTTTTGAGAGAGCGGTGGTGTATTGATAGAATGGCTGCGTAATGCAGATCAAATAATCAATCTGCTGCCACTCATCTCTACTCAGCTGAAGATCAGTATGGTGATCTGCCACACAGTAGGTATTAAGATAGGACTGAAGTCGCTTTGCCCGGCGGAGCATCAGAAATGTTGAATTCCAGCGTGTTCGTACATCTTGAATTGGAAACAGTTGAGAGCCTTCAGGCTGAAGGTTCCTAAAATTCGCACGGCGCTGAGGGCTTGCATTAATAAATACAGCAAGGTTTCGAATCTAGGTAAACCATAATAGAATTAGTAGAGATTCGGAGAATAGTGAGGGTATTAGATCATCAAACCTTGCGAAGGGTGCTGGCTATACTGTACTCTTTTGCTATTTGACGTGCTTTCTGCATATGCTCTTCTGACCAAATAGATTCAACATTCTCATTGACAGGGTTTGCTTTTATTTGACCAAGGAGCTGCTTAAGGCTCAACTGAATGACGTGAGCAAGGCATGGTACTCTGATAATAATGGTATCAGAGCTCAGGCCTTGAGAGAGATGAGTTTCCTGGAGAGAAGAAACAAGGGTTAAGTTATTGGACGCATTATCAGTAGTAATAGCCAATACTCGCTCCTTAATCTCATACTCTCGAAGTAGTTCAAGAACCTCTTGACTGAGATTTACCCCAGTATGCTCACCCTCAAGAGGTTTAAAATCAAGTAAAACCTCTCGGTATTCCCATTCTGAATCAATAAAATAGCCAGATACTGCCATAAAGGCTTGTTGAAAGGGCGAGGTCCAACAGTCCAGACTAATTGAAAGCTTTGCATGCTTTGGCAATTTCCGAAGTATCTCTTTCCGACGATCTTTTGCCTTTGTTTGAATCTGACGTTGTAATGTTACGCGAGAGGGCATATTGATAGGAGAGGGAGCTCGCTGAGCTAGTCGGATAAGCTTCAGAAATTCAGGGTGTTCGATCGTTGTAAAGGGAAGGCGTAATGTAGATATTGTTGTAATAAGTTGCTGTTTCCATCGGTTCTCGTTGAATGCTTCAGGGGCTATGGCTGCCTAATCAAGAGAGAGAAGCATTAGATGGTTTTCCGGCTGGAAAAGAAGGTCCTTACCTGATGCCGTAGTAGCCGCTGTATATGAGACCCTTTCCCTTGCGCTTGCCCTCTGGCCTGGCATGTTTGACGTGTAAGATGGCGGCGTAACGCAGTAGTTCCATGTGCGCTCTTACTAGAACGACTTATAGCATTTGGGTGGTGGAGAATAGCACCACATCGCTTGCACACCATCATTGGCTTCCCAGTAACACAGTGAGCAACCTGGTCGAATGAAGCCCAGATATCTGCTCGGCAGCCCTTTGTATCCCATACTCTCGCATCCTCAGCTTGCCCAGCAGATGTACGAAGCCACCATTCAACAAACTCTTCCTTGTTCATTGCTTCGAATATTATGTGGTTGTTGATAGGTTTAAGACACCCTGGGATCTTGATAGGTTGGAAAGACTGTGTTGTTTGACTTGCAGAGTGCTCAGGCGCAATACTGTCAGAGTAAAGATCCAGGAAAGATGAATCATCAACATCACATGCCTCGCCATCATCTATAAGGGTTATCTCTGGTAATTGGATTTCAGGCATAATGAAGAATAGGCAATTAATTAAAGAACGAGGATTGTTGAATAGATAGAAGAGAGTAGAGAAAGAGGTAACGAACTATTTTATTCTACAAGTACATACTCTCTATTTAGCTGAAAGATCAATAAAGCAGAGACTCAGGGGGGACGCGTTGTGTACGCAGCTCTAGTCTGATTAGCAACTTAGCCAGGAGACTCCCTATTAAGGGTCTCTGATTAGTTAATTTAATAGGCCAGCCCATGGGCCGGCCCATTCAGCCTAGATATTCGTGAAGTGCTATCCCCCGCGGATTAGATGTCGGCATCGAATTTTTTTTTCACCCTCCGATGTTAATATTTTAATAGATTTAAGCCACCACCAAAGTAGTATTAATCAATTTAAAAATATAGAGAATCGAATCAGACTACTGCGCTCCCTATAGTATTAAAAAATCTAAGAAAACCTAAGTTCTCAACTACATCGAATTCACAAACGATCAAAGCAAGAAGGCCTACTAGCTTGCGAGTAAAGGAATATATATCTTTTGACTTACAGTATATTTGGTGAATGGTAATCTATTTAGTAATTTGCCATAGTTAAAGCTGTATAATTAGAACACTATCAAATACCACTAGTAATATTGAATATCTTGCATATAATTTATGCAAATTTGGGGGCTAAATGGGCCAAATGGGCCAGCCCATGGGCCGCCAAGAAAACCCATGGGCCGGCCCAATTGGGCCGGATATTCGAATTTTGGCCCATGGGCCGGCCCATGTACAGGTCTACCGGTGAGATGTGAACCGCCAAAGATTAAACCGATGGAGGATAAATGGTGAGAGAGGTGATCAAATAGATCAAAGGTTGAATTGAGAATGCGTTGATACAGAAAACAAGTAGATTTTTAGAGTAATTCCTGCGGCTATTTTTACCGAGGTGATCACCGACCTGAAAATCCGGTGAAGGCGGGAAGGGCATCGAAAGTGGTGAGAGTGGTGAGTCAACACCCTCATTTTGCCAGCCCGCCCCCCCAATTCCAAGAATCTGCCATGTTGGTCATGTGACTGATGACTCATCTCGATTCTCACCTCAATAAACTATCATGGTCATTTTAAACGTGACTCCCTTCCTAGAAGACACAAGCCAATATTATTTATAATGTCTAAACCCGACCCGTGAGAGAAATACATCAAATTGAAATTCAGGCTGCCAAATTTCATGGCATACTTATCAGCTACAACCAGCGCAGTTTCCAAGGAAAACAATGTGATTCCAAAGCCTTCCAGTGAAAATTCATTCAATGCCACTCAAAGCCTCAACCCCGATTTGAGTGAATCATATGTCAGGTTTATTGTAATGTTTTTGTGGATGTTGTCGCACGTATCTACGCCACAACTCCAACCCCTGGAGCGAAGAGAACGGCCCATAATTTTACACCGCCTGCCTTCGCCCCGCCAGGAATCTTCACGAGCGGCCGATCCGGCGCTCTCGCATCATACGATATCGAAGAGTACTTCAAGACCTACAGATCCGCCTGGGCCGAATGTTCCGCTCTATATGGATATCCACTCAGTCCTGATCGCGTGCCGCAGCCTTGGAATAAGGGGTGGTCCCAAAATGCAGCGACTGGGCCAGGCGATTACCCGTCGCTCACAACGCATCTCCCGATCACTTCGTCTTTCATACCCCCGGAGATCACGGCCCGGGTCAGATAGCTGGTACCGTGCCATAAAAATCTTAGCCAGCGCAGTCAATTGTAGGCAAGACGTTTTATTATCGCAACCGCTACCAAGCCAGGCCTACCTCTTTGGATCTTTCATACTGAGATACCTAGCCGGGGGTTCTGCGAAGGACACGGTGGATGAAGAGACAGATTTCTTAGATTTACTATCTCTAGCTGTCAACAAATACGCTCCAAAATAACATTTCATATATTTTGTCATCTCAGATTTACCTGGTGTCTCCATGTGCTACTCTAGCTGCCAGATTTTCAAGGCGAGAATTGGACCGCAGACCAGTAGCTATATTTCAAACTTAGACTTGAATATGGCAACTAGAAGATAGTGTAATCAACTGAATTTGATGCAGTCATTCCGAAAACAGATACTGTTACCAGGCTACTCGAAAGCAATTGACTCCTCCGCTCCAAAAATTTTGTCATTCCAATATGATTCACATTCAATTTCACTTCGCTTGTGCACACGGACTGTTACAGTGGACATGCCATGACCATTTAGCGATGTGAACCAGGATTAAAGTTCTAGCCCCTGAGAGAAGCATTCTGCACATACTCATAACATAATGCTGTATACCATCAAATGGAGGGATCGGGATATGGGAATGAAGCCGCGCTCATCGAAATTGAAGGAGGAGGAAACGGGGCGGACTCGAAGCTGCTTTCAGGATCATCTGGTGGATTCGTGTAGGGTATGCTATGATACACATGAAATTCCGACCCATGGACTCCAGAACTGGCATTGGTCCAGTTCGAACTATCCAATCCCGGTGTATAGAAAGTCGGCGTGTCCTCATCGTTATTCTCGCGAATATGCGGAGCGCTGTCTTCCAGAAGCTCGGGCCATAGCAGCTGGTCACTCATGGCATCATGGTCCATTAAATAACCGAAGAACTTCTTAAACACCGATATACGGAGAAATCTCGACGTGACACGGGTTTCTATCCTTCTTTCTTTCAGCGACATCACTGATAGAGCGTATCGGTCGGCTTCCACAGTATCCACCGAGGGTTTACCACTCCTTTTCTTGACATCCACTTCGTCTGATGCATCTTCAGGGTAGTCGCAAGGTATCTCAGTTGGTAATTCGACTGGCGAGGCAGGAAGGTCGACAGCGTTGGGTGTTCGGAGACCCATGGTCATCATTTTCATGTGAAAATGGTTCCAGATATCTGTACGGTTGGGCAGATCCAACTGCTGCTGGCTAGACGCTGTTCCGAATGCCAAACCACTTGATGATTTGAGCCGCCTCCAATCGGTCATTTCGAATCCGTACTGGAAGCTGAAGCGCCAGAGCTCCAGAATGTAAATTCGAAACCTGGCCTTTCGGGCTGCCGGGTCGAGCGTTGATCCGATTTCCCATAATCCATGAACACCATTGTCGATTGTCAGTTTATCATCAGTACTATTTGGTTGGAGAAATAGCTGCTTCATGACACTCTGTGGTACTTCCAGATAGAGACGGTCTCTGAAAAATGTCTTTAACGATGGAATTGGAGAGTCGATCTCCTTCAATCGGTCCCAGATCTCCCGTCGATCATTTTCTGAAAAACTGGGAAAAAGCACGCCTTCGTCAAACTTCTTCTGCAAGAATTCTTTGTCCTTTTTGGAGACGTTAGGGGCTCGGGACTCGATGAGGTTGACAGTAACACCGTCAATTAATTGTAAGCTCTGGATGTGGCCTCCAACTATCGTAAAGAATGTGGTCAGAATACTTCTCCAATAGCACGAAATTGCCTGGTATGCCACTCGTATTAGCCCCTGCTCCATCAAAATCTGGCACCGGAAGTCTAACGTACCTCGTCACAGTGCATAGCGGTAATTTTGTGAAGGTTTCCAATCTGCATTCCTTCCCAAAGCCCTGGAATGGCAAGTAGCGAGTTCAACTGACGGGTCAGGAACTGGTTCCTGAAGAATAATCTCAGATACTGTCCTTTCTTGCTTCCTGCGACTGACGCTAGGGCCGCCCACCAGCTTTCCGCTGCCCGTTGATTCTCGGGCCCGTCAAGACGGCCCTCATAGTAATTGATACGCTCATATATCAACCCATCTGATGGCCGATGCTCGTTTGAAAATCGTTCTCGTTATGATTGGAGGAGCCTTCCCTGGAGCTCGTGGGCAGTTGCATTGAGGTTATCTGAGAAAGGGTAGTTATTAGTCAGAGGAGATCAAGCTTTGAGACAAGCAAAAGGCTTCATACCCGATTCTTCATCAGTCACATAGACATCCACTATCCACCACTGGTTGTTGAATGCGAGTGTATTTCTAGCAGCAACAATTAGATTCTCGTGGTCTAGCGCTCGTAATCCGTAATCCCAATCCACATTTAGGCTAGGAAGAGTCCCGTTGTCCGACCGCAGATGCACCCGATGTTGCCAGTCTGCCTGGGGCACTATGATGGACACATGATTATCCTTCATCAAACGATGGCAACCTTGTATTTTCAAGATTTGTTCGAGACGGCGAACATTCCGACGCTGATCCATACGTCGCTTAAATCCCGTTTCAAAGACAAGATGGGACATATGCACCCTGGCCGATAGCTTGAAGCGACTCTTAGCATATGCATAGACTCTTAGCATATGCATAGACTCTTAGCATATGCATAGAGTCTACACTCCAGGTCCTCCGCTTCAGACTGAGTGGGAGAGGCCATGTAGAGTACTTTCAGAGAACAGAACTGGAGGAGTGCGCCTCGGGAAGACCCGAAGTTGGAGATACTTGGTGTTCTTTTGGAGCTTTATATCGTGTGATATATTGGGTATGTAGCAAAACTTTCGACCTCTTAGATTTGGCACAAAGTTGGCACATACCTTCAAGTATAAAACTGACATTCTAACTTTCTGATGAAGACCATCTCCTTATCGCTGGAAGTACAATATTGTGCTGTAAACAGTCAATACTACGACACTAGACTCATAAAATGTCGACAAAAAGACATTCAGAAACTTACCTCACATTAAATCCGCCCATGATAGGAAATATGAGAAGTTTTGAGATCTCCAAAGTATAAATATATTCTCCATCAAATTATCAGATATACATCATCTCGACCATCTCTAGTATATGAAATAAATTCTAGAACAATGAAGCTCCGAACGATACCAAGGCTAGATCGGCTTGTCTCAGCTGCTGCCTTGTCGCTTTCGATCGCAGTCTTCCCCTGTCTGATATTGATATTTGTCAGCTGCTCCTCACCCTCCACATCCCGCGGGCTTTATTTTCTTAAGGTAGGACGGTTTCCAAACATTTTTCCGACCAAAGGTTAATTTATAGTATAGGTAGATCTAACAGACTTTCCTAAGATCGACCCTTTATTGTCCCGCGGGTCTATTGGGATTGAGGATGTGGGTTCCTCGGCTATTGTTCATGACGGAGCATATGCGGTCAACAATGTACCCTCGACTGCCCGTGAGGGTGCAGATGAAGCATCTTCAAAAACAACTTCGGCGATTCATCATACCATTCAATCGGAAGCTGATAAGATGAAATCTCACATTCCACAACACTACTCAGTGGGTCTTTGGAGCTATTGCACATCTGGACATAACCCTGAGTCCACCTGTTCGGACCCTAGCTTGACATTTGCTTTTAATCTGTCTTCCACGCTTAGTTCTACTGTAGCAAAAATGGAAAAGGTGCTCCAGCCGGTAGGCGAGTCGACAATATCGGGTTATCGCCAGATCTCTCACGCCATTATCTATCTATACATATCTAGCCTCGTTGGAAATACGCTAGTAACCGCCCTTGGCATTCAAAAGACTTTCTTTGACAGAGGGGACAGGCTTTTGTCCATCCTTAATCCGGTATGTGGGACTCCAAGTGAATCTGACGAATAGATGTGGCTGACCATGCTAGCTGTCTGCGCTTTTTATCACGACCGCGACGGTTGGGGTGACAGTGATGTACGGACTATTTGTCACCGAAGTAAAAGCTAAATTAAGTGATATAGGTGTCAAGGCAATCCTTGGCTCACGACTTTTTGGGGCCGCATGGCTGGCAGTTTTTTTATCTATCGGATCATCGATCATTTGGTTGATACAGCTCTTTTGTTGCTGTATTTGATGCCACAACCATGCGAAGATGACTAGTTCATTTACGTTTGAAGTGGAAGATTCGAGAGAAATCGGCTTTTTTAGTTGAATGGACATGGGTGCCATAGCTTATCTGAATGTACTATGCACACCACAAGTTTATAAATATTGTCTGATTTCAATTATGCTAGATGAGGTGTCTCCCAATGTTTCGAACTGAATCGACTTTTTTCTGTCTCGTCTGGCCCGTGTGTGTCCTTAAAGTCTTACACTTCATGTAGTTTCTCGCAGGAGACTTGGTTGAGTATATATTCCAGAAACCGCGAGAATTATCTCACGACCATTTGACATATTTCCATTATTTCCGAGATTGCCAAGGCTTGAGGCCGATATCCTTTGTTGGTTGGTGTACCCTATAAGATGCTTCTGCATCAGCATACCTGGTCCTGATTGGGTCCAAAGTAACTCGGGCTGAGTAGGATTGGTCGATGTGACAGAGAACATTCCATCTTTTTTCGGACTCGCATGCTTTTTTAATCATACTAAATATCGTATTTTGCAAGGACCACAGGATTTCGTGGCCAGAACTGCGCGGATCATTCGGTGAGTCGGAGTTGTAAAGACGTTGCAGATCATGAGCTGCGTTTTCTGCGAGATCTTGCAATAGCTTAAAAAGTGCGTAGCAGTCGCGGTAATAGGCATTCTCGACACGCTGCTGGCCTAACTCGCGCTCAAGTTGCGCAATTTCATCAATTGTCGCCATGACGTGACATACGAAGGGGTTGTGTCTCGGTCCATCGGTCCTATCTACTTATCTCGCAAAACCCTCTTCTAGCGTTGACGGTGAGGTGAAAACTGATCAGAAAACCTTCAAATTGATCAGACCGTTGATCTTCGATTTTCGTATAAAGTTGCGGTGACCACCGTTCCGCAGTCTACGGCTGCCACCATTCTTAGTTTTCTCTGAGAAAAAGCGGGATGCTAGCGTCAGCACCTCACGGGAATATAAAACTGCCAGCTCCCGCACGCTTTGTCCATTCATTACACAGAAAACATCTCCTCCACGAAAACATGTTTTCCAATGGCCAGAACGTCCGCGACTGTGCCCTGGGGGCCTCGATAGGGATCTTCGGCTTCTCATACTTTTTAATCTATGCGTTGCAATTTTTCATTTTCCACTTCCCTTCGACCCCCGGGGAAATCATTGTCGCCTTGTCCGTGACAGGATTTGGGATTGGGACTGCCCTTTGGTATTTGAGTCTCATCTATCACCACGTGATTCGTGTGTTCGAGTATGAGAATACCAAAGATGAGCATGATTCACCCCAGCTCGGTCGTCTTTTTCTTCTCTGGGTTGTCACACTTCCGACGATTCCATTCTTATTCTCAGGCCAGCCATTGCTACAAATTTGGTATATCTCGTCTTTGGCGGGTATCACAGTGGGAAATTTACCTCGCTATCTGTTTCATGGGCAGACTGATGACGATGACGCCCCTTTGACTCATTGCTCACTCCATTTGGCATCTGTCAGCCTGGTTGCATTAATGCCGACTATCCATGCACTCGCGAAACCTATCTTCACACAAGATCAATTGCAACTGGCGAATTCTTTTGGCGAATTGATGATTGGGGGTCTTCTTGGAAGAATTTTGTATCTTCTTCGGCCTCTGGAAAGAATAGGAGTTGCCCAGAACTGGCACCCGAGCCTGCATGGAATGCATCTGATTTGGACTTATACTCTCGTGTCATTCTCCAATACGGTGCTGCAAGCAGCGATCCGCCATTGACACTGATGCTTGTTGACGGTGAAGACTTGGCTATCCTCTGATCCGAGCTCACCCGAGCACTGGAGCAACATTCTGTGACACTTCCCTAGCCCTGTCATAGGGAGTGCAATGCAATCCGTTCGATATTCAGGTTAGGTAGTCTTTCTAAAATTTCCTTTCCAAGAGAGCAAGGCCTTTTTCATATTCAAATATTGAATAAAACAGACACCCAACATGGCTTTTCATCTTTGTTCTGAGTGATTCTATACATTTCATTGTCAGCAATTATCGAAGACATACTGCCAAAGAACAATAAAATAGATTGATAGGTTGAGGCTCCATTATTCAAGCCTACAAAGTTTATTTCTCTACCACTTCGGTGCCACAGGGCCAGGCATAATATTAGATGGAAGACTTGTTGGTGACATGAAGACTTGAACCTAGTCTTGACCAGTGGACCCCATACGGAGACACATAAAATCTAACGTGATTAGACAATTTAATCATTTTGGTTCCTTTTATTTGAGACGGATGAAAGGCAAGGCCAGAGGATGTCAATAAATTTCAACTTAGTCTAAGACAGGCTCGGCCAAATTCTTCTTGCCGGGCCGCTTTAACCGCGCATGTATAGTAAGCAGCTCTCTAGCCCTTGACACGTGGCTTCTTATATAACCAAGGTGTTGAGTACTTATTGATCAGCTCAGGCGAGCTCGCGCAATGGCTCTTTGAAAGCTCATTATCATTACCTCTCAACTTGGTCTCCACTTGTGTGTACATATTGGAAAGTATACCTCAATTCAGCTGTTTGAGCAAGAAACAAGATCAAGTTTCCATTCTTATTTATGCCTTCCCGCAAAAGGTTTCAAGATGCAGTCCACTGAAATAGTCTATGATAGACAGTTTCTGATACGTACTTCTACATTGCGATTATGCGGTAAAACAATTCAAGGAAACCCAGGTGCTAAAAGTAATAGCCAAGATTTTAATGGTAGAATTTTCTGCCTGTGGGCTCTATCATCCAGCAGGTTCTGCATTGACGAAGGAACCATCAAGCCGTGCGCAAAGCTTCTCCTGTATTGTATGATCACACTTCAGTGCCTTCATTTTTCTCTAATTCTGACCCACAATTGATATAGCATCTCACAAAACAACTCCAATAACCAAGCCTCTCCTCTGATGCCACCTTCTACTTCCGGCACTAATTCTGAGACTTCAGCAGTTCAGCTTTTCGGTGGAGCGTAGGGCGAAGTCGTTGCAACCAAATGAACCGATCGGTGCGGCTCTCTACGGAGCCTCTTTTTCTACTAGTCTTTTTACCCGGGCAGCTTGAGCTGTTGGGGTTGACTGAGCTGGTCGCTAGCGACACGCTTGGTTCATGCACACTCCTCCGGAGCCTGATCCGTAGAATTGTCTTTGGCTGCTCGACGAATTTGAAGCCGACGACGCTCCCATCACTTTTGCTGGCAGTAAAAGGTGATTTCTCCTTTGAATTGAATGTCCGCGGAGACATCAAATGAGCACGTCTTGAAAGAGCTGTGTCTGACTTGATTCTGCCTCCAGTACGGCGAGACTGGCGAGTGTAAGGAGCCATTGTGGTGGAATAATGGAAATAATGGATGCGTAATGAGTCAAGTAAACCCCAAGGATTTCAAAACGTACTTATACTCCTTCGGCAGTATCATTAAGCTAATGGGGTACCAAACAGCTGAAACATGAGGTAAAGATTTTCTCATATTGCGCTTCTTCCCTGCTTCATATCATAATTGCATCTAACCTCAGAAATCTTGAATTATAATGATCTTAATATATATGATTCAATTCTTGCTTGGCCTGGGTTGGCCGTAGATTTCCGGATGTGTTATTTCTGATGGCGGCTCTTTCCAAGTTTCCATACCTTGTTAGCAGTTTTTGTTCACGAGTAGATCTCAGGTCATTCTTTTTAGCAATCTCAGCATAAATGCGACCTGCGATGTTCATCAATCGTGTTGGCAAAATGCTGTCTAAGGGGGGCGCCTTTGGGGTTGCCTCACGATGCCCGTACTCACGTGATGTCTAGAACGACATTGGCAATTGCTAAGGGAGTCTTCTATGCTTCACAAGAGTCAGCTACTTGCCTCTGTGAGTAAGCTCGTCACTCTCCACTTTCTGCCCCTCTCATTTTTCATCTACATATACGTCGAAACCACTACCGCACAAGATGGACACTGCCTCCCTACAAGGGAGCACGAACGGGCTCTATCTGATGCCACGATCTACACCGCCGTAATAGGTGAGCCGTTACTACCATACCACGCTCAAAAAGGCCTGAAGATGAGACGCTTGCGTCGCTTTCTTGACTGAAGACCAAGTTGGCGGTTGTAGCCGCTGGAATTTGAGAATGCTACTAAATCTATCTCAATATGATGAAAGTGGAAAATTCGCTGCTATTTCTGCAGTCTTAAATCTATCTCCTTTAACAACTGAAGCTCTCTTTATTCCGACCTTTTCCCCTTACTCTCAATTTTGATCAACCGCAGATTTGGACTGGCGGCTCGAAAAACTCATACATCAGACTTTGCCAAAATTTGCGACAACGACAGCTCGAGCACGCTCGAAAATCCCGACTGGTCACGGAGTGTTTGTTCTGAGCTGTCCTCTGAGAGACTTGGCCGGGGTGAAATGACATTCACTGACTGATGGCCATCACTCCGTGTCTCATGCAGAGACCCTGCATACTCTAGCTGTGACTGAGCCCCGCTCAATCTTCGAGACATTTGTCGCACCTCACCCGACCCGGCATTTGAACGGTTCAATCTCACAGTGGAAGAACTTGTATCATCCTGGTGAGGCTGCTTGTCGATCTCTGAAGCGCCAAGGTAGATCGAATTGGAAAAAAAGGAGCGGACTTCATTCAACACAGAGAACTCCAGTTTCAGCTTGATACTGTAAGCCACCGTCTTGAAGCTGACTTGGATATAGTGGAGTTTGAATTCCGTGACGAGGAGCAAAATATTCATGAGCACAACCAGGATGTTGACACAGAGTAAATTGACGAGCACTTTGCGGCTCCCAGTTCGGTGCAAATTACGACTGTCTTTCAACAACAAAACTGTATGATAGATGTAGATACTGCAAATGACGAGATCTTGAATGCAGAAACCAATCAACTGGATTCGATCAAAAATTGCAGCAGGACGAGCAAACCCCGCCACTCCGCTGTTAAGGCCGAAGAACAACACTGTCATTGGGATATGAAGAATGAAAGCGTTCACGACAATCATCCACAACATCCAGCGTGTTTTGCATTTGATGGGGGCGAGCAGATGTACCCGTGAATACAACACAACAGCTTGGCCGGTCACCATGGCATACCATCCAAGTATGAATGGAATTGATGTCGGCAGATTGGATGATTGAGAAATGAATCGGGTCATGGCTGGAAGGGCATGTACAATGATTCCCCAGGAAGCGGCTTGCATACTCCAAAATAACAAGCCACAATATTTTTTGAAGAAAAAGAAAGTGAAAAAGCCGGTTTCCAGCGCACTGTAAGCACCAATAGAATACATCGACACTATCTGTATGATGCCGATGTTCTTCATGAGCAGATCTCCCACTGCGGGAAGTAGGCTAGCAACGGTTGTGTCCATGGTGTAATAGGATTGTGACTCTATGGGAAGAAGGTGTTCATGATGAGGCGTGACAGGACGCCGGCTTTAAATAAAAAGATATGCCAAACGCCAAGATAGGAGCGGATATTTATATCGTGATATCATAGTGTCGGAAGTTCCAGCATCAAGACAGCTCTAGAACGATGTGGACTCTACTAGTCCCGAACAATGGGTTGGTTTCCTGGGAGAAAATGGGTCGGCCGACTTTTTTTTATAATATGTGAGTGAGCAAATACTGTAAATTCGCGACTTCTACCCTATGATAGGTATCCAGGAGCCAAGAAAGAAAGTTTCCGATACCCACCTGAGGCATATTTCATATTGTTTCAATTGGCTAAAGTAAACATTGCGGAGACAGAATGAGAGCAAGCGCAGATCTTCTATTGTTATCTGACACCTATGGCCTAAAATTATCTCCGTAGGTTTGATATACACATTTCATATGTCTATTGATCATCCACAAGCGAGGGGCTTTTTCTATTAGTCCTTGAGAGCTGATTTCTATTAGCGAATGTTTTTGGATATGAATACAGTATTTCTCAAGCCCCAGCATCCATCATACTTTTCTGAGAAAAATTAATTCCTCTGCACTCTTTCAACAACCCCCTGTGCTAAAATCTACGCGGTCAAAATACTGCAGAATAAAGACTGGGATGAGCAAGGGTCCGGGAACCATGGTTCTAGCCGAAGATAGAGCCCGGATATCAAATCTTGGCTTTCGTCAGGCTCCTCAAAGCTATACGCTGAAAACAGCGAGTGACGAGGTACTTTTTCAAATATGGCCCATAGGTCTGACGATAATAACTATATCTACCTTATTACGTAAAGAGAGCCAAACAGTGGTCTAGGGCGTTGACTCAGTTACGCGTCGATTTCCATCCAGTCACTGAATCAGCCCTCCAGATAGGCACTGGCAGTAGAATAGAGTCAACTAGGGCGGCTAGTTAAAGTACTACTGAATATACGGCAAAATTCTACGAAGCATGCCTACAGCATAGCCTACCCTGGAATATCGATTGGCGTATATTCACTTTCACCGAGAACTGGGTATTACTTGAATCTTGTCAGACAGATCTACCCACTGTCAAGACTGATCATCTAGACTTCAGGTTCCATTTCCACACCTTACCAATATTTCACGTTGTATTGATCTGGATGTTACCCTGCGCATCAGCCTCTGTGAATGGATCGTACCAAGGCCATTATGGATCGTGCTCCATCCAGCTTAAAGTACCAACAAGAGCTTATTGGTTGTGTCAAATAAGCTAATCCTAGAATTCACACCGCGGTGCTTCAAAATTCAATGGGTGACCGCCCCTGTCGTTCCACTGTGCTCAGTGGCAAAGCCATTGTAGGGCTCTGGGCCTCTATGGACTAGATCCCCATGGGCGGAGAACCCTTGTACGGTTGCTGAGGAAATCAGCCCTCTTTGTGCCCTCACTTCAACTTCTTCGGCCGGTCAATATGTCGGCGACGCTTCCATGGTAATTTGAGATATTCGGTCACGCTGTTTTGAATCTTCCTGATTTAATTTAACGACCGTCTCGAAACAGACTCTTCATTGACAAACGTTGCGAGTTGGGTGTTAGAGGTAAATTCTCAATCTTTGAATGTGTTTCTTTAATTGAGAAGAATAAAGACAGATAATTGAGTGGAAACTGGGTAGTCAATCACAGATCTAAAATGTGGGGGTCTGGCGATCATGTAGATACCCCACAGCTAAGGCAATCATTTCCCTTTCCTATGTCTCCACTTATGTACAGCCCGCAGATCCTGGTGTGTATTGAATACTCATGATACTAATTTGAGTGCCATCAAAATCATCTCAAAGGGCAATATTCTGCGTTTTGCGCTATTTCGCACCTGCTTTTCTAGGCCCCACCCAGACCTTTATAACCTGGCATCCCACAGAACTACAATTATTGAGTTCTTGCTCCTTTCTATTCTCAATAAATTTCCAACGAACAAAGATATACTCGCAATGGCAAATGTCCCCAGACTTTCCCGAAGTCGCACTGAGCAGCATGCGAGTCGGCCGAAATCGCGCGGCTGCAGATCCGGAAATTCGTCGTATCGCTCGATCCAGTCGAAAGTCTCAGGATCTGACACTGACTCTGGCTCGTTAAGCCCAGCGACAAGCAATATGTCCGACGTAAGCTAAACTCTGTCATTACAGTTCCCGTTCCTGCCATTACCATGGCAATCCCTACTATCATATGCTGTTTTGCTTCCATGATTGGCCGTAAACTAACACAGTTCCAGAGACATTCCATGAAACGCTCTGCGAGGCGACATCGGAAGTCTTCCCATCGGGAGTGTTTTAAAGTTCTAGACGATTATGAGGAGCAGGTTGAAAGAATTCTCGCCGAGAGAGAGGATGACAGAACTGCTACTGCTCAGCTCATTCAAGAGCTCAACGCTGAAAAAGCTCGAGAGATTTCCAGCTTACACAAATTCATTGCCGAAAAGGACGCTGCAGTCGCCGAAGTTGGTCGGCTTAAGAAGGAGACTTCACAGCTGCGGCAGCAGCTGGAGTCTACAAACACCACGTTGCAGGACCAGGTGGCATGGGACGATATACAGCCAGTCTTACACCAGACACACGGAGAACTGATCTCCGCTGCGTCTCGTTTCGCGAATTTGATCGATAGTCTTCAGAACAAACGACTGGCATCCTTCTTGCCTAGCACCGAGGTGTTCCATGGCAATTGGGCCACCACCGGTGGTCCTTCGGAACCCACCGACCCTAGCGCGCTTCCCGGGTTTTCCGGATCAAGCAACCCGCCGCTGTTTGACCCACAAGCCCTAACCTCAACCAATGAATATGGGCCATTTGCTTAGGCTCGATGAGACCGACGATCTCCCGGGGTAGGATATCGTATCTATACAACGAAGTCTCCCATGTCCTTTCAAATGATGCATTCATTTGCTCCGACCTCATCTCTACCATAGTTTGAACAATAAAATTAGGTTTCATTCTGTCAATAAATTCAAACTGCGCCTGTTGTCCACGGCCGAATAGCGCCGATTGGAGGGCACTCTGAGTGGTACTTCTGTCCTACCTCAGTTCCATGGCTCCAAACTTCATACCGTTCGGGCGTACCCTTTCGTTTCCCGGGGAACCGTCGTCGCTGCTTCCCCGCCTTAAGTTCTTTTTGCATAACATTATGAAGCATTCACTTGAACCGCGGGAAAGTAGTAGTTAGACCGCAATTTGAGGATCCACTTCAGTGTTATGGGAACGATCTAATCGTGGAACCAACATCTTCTTCTCTTTGAATCTCGCGTTCCACCCCGAAAGTAAATAGTGTTCTGGAACAGGTCGCATTGTCAAGGATACAATTGTATGGGCTTGTGCGTGTTTTCGATTCTAGAACATTCCACTGCGAGACCTAGAAAATTTTAATTCAACCAATGTTCCATAGCCAATCACGATGCTACTGGGGACGGATAATGATCGAAAGGATAGGAAATGACATCATGCCCGAGATCGGAGCAATTACACTTTATCGATTGCGAAAACATATCTAGACTCTGGCAAGCAGTAATTTGGGAATAGAGAGAACAATCACGCTCCATTTAAATTCGTCTAATAGACATCGGGAGTAAAAGAAGTCTTCGCCCTAGTATCCAGCCGAAAATGACGTCTTCCTCTTCGATAGCATGGTCGGCCACAGAAGATGAGTATCCCGAAACCAAAGCGCCACAACCATTATACACATTCTGAAGACTTGGGACTTGATGGTTGCTCGAAAGGTATTATCTCACTATTGGCTGACCTGTTCTCGACACTGCAGACTTTTTCTGGAACATCGAATCTTTCATTCGAGTCTCCATGGTGGCGAGCCGGCTCAGGGCATCTTCCAGATCATGCCGGATCGTCTCATTCCAAGCAACCTGTCGGTTAACAGAATCTGCTAAAGATCTGTAGAGTAAAAATCAGCATTGTTTCCACCCTCTTTATCATATAATGTACGACTGACTTCATTCGGCTATCCAGACTTGATCAACAGATTAGTAAAAGAACAACTATTTTCAGTCTCCGTACTCACTCTGATCCACATTTCAGTGCAATAATGCTATTTTGTGTGGACTGTTCGGGCTCGCCGTCGAATGCAGTCTGGGGCCGACTTGTCTCATTCTCAGATTTCATCTCCCACGGACGCCATTGGTAACCATCCTGATTATCAGCTTCAATTCCGACTTTTCTGCGTCTGACAGCTCCATTGTTGTCGGAAGACATCGCATGCCGGGCGGAATGATTCATTTCTGGTCTTTGGCTTCTGGCTTCGTTGCTGGATTCGGAGGATGACAGAGATAGTGCACGTTTCAGTCTGCTTCGGAAGGTGTGCCGTCCATCGACAAGTGACAGTCTTCGACGAGAAGGCATATTTGGAATTTGGATATCAGGGCAGATAATTCCACCTTTTTCTTATCTTTTTCGTTAGATTGGAATTTATAATGGAGGGAAAAAGTTGAAAAGTCAGGGGCATACTAAATACACGGCCGAGCCCGGAGCGGACGCAAGGTCTGAGGTGGCGGAGAAATCCCGCCCCACTGATCACCATATCCGGAGATCTGATCGAACTAGTCTTCACCCATCTTAGCGTCTAGCTGGCAACCAATTTCCATTTATTCTCTTGAAATCAATACACCTGCAACAATGGCGTCACGTAGACTTAACCAGTCTACCATTCACTACTATTGACGAACAGATACTATAGGGAAATTGGCTGACATTGATCAAGGAAGGAGCTAATCACCATGGCATGATAGCCGAATCCCAATGTTTAGTCGTGACGCCAGGTGGCGTTATGAGCGAGGTATGGCTTTGTGTGATTCAAAGACATTTTTCCAAGCTCTCAGCTGTTGCATTCGCTGTTTCGGTGAACTTTTCGGGAAATAAATAATTGCTTTCTAGTTGAGCATCGTTGGATAACATTAGAAACGCCGTAATTAATTGAGGACTGGAAGTTGCAAGACAGTACCACGGATCAGCTCAGTCAGACCATATTACTCAATGGTTACATTAGCTTATCACTTCACCGGCAATTTCCAGGCATAACCAGTGATTCCCAGGAATCAGTCAACTAATTCCGTAGGCTTACCTCTAGAATCTGTCGCTTCGACAATCATTTCAGCCAAAAGTTTAAAGCTCACCACGCCCACTTTCCGTACGTTTCAAATTTCTGCAGAAATCTCACAAGCCTTATTTTTATTCACCACCGCTCCTTTCTCCCTAAGATGTCTCAACACAACTCGCTTGGCTGGTCGGAATAGGAGGAAGATAATCTTCTCCCCTGGCTGCATGCACACCGAGCTCTGTCTTGGGAAGCTCGTGCTGCCGCTTATAATGAGCAATATGAGACTATCCGAACAGTCGAGTCACTACGGGGGAAAAAATATCACATTCTTCGAAAACGCCGTCTCAATCGTGCCAAGGTGTCTAGGCAGCGCTCAGTTCCAAAACGTCAGAAACGTATTCGACGACTTAGGGGTGCCAGGAAGAGATTCCCAGCGTTTACAGACACGAAGGATCAAAAGATCGACCACTGGCTTCAGAGAATTCCTTCACCAGAGTCCACCACTTCAGAGAACAGTGTCGCCATGGAAAAGTCACATTCCGGTAAGCAGGCATTTCTTCATCGGCTACTCATGCTAATTTGTTCTGTCAATCAGTTTATACCACACCGGCTCCGCATGATCCTCAGCCCCAAGAATTTCAGTCCAGGTCTTGGCTTTGGGACTATATACACCGTGTCTGTGGAACCAATAGGCTACGTCTTCACCGAGAGTAACAATTGAGGGAGGGATTGCGGCTGAATTTCGAAGTAACAGAATTACATGTACACAAAGATACCTATTAGAGCAGCTTTGATATGCCAGTTACTTAAGGCACAGCATTTATTGGTGTGTTCTTGCAGAATCCACTTGGTATACGGGTTTATGAAACTCCTACAAAGTTTTCTGGTAGATATGTATTGTTGTTCAAATACACATTAGAGTACTTTTCTAGCTCATTGTTTCTCTTCCATACCTATGGGGGATTTGAATCCGGACCAGGTAATTTAATACTTCAATATTCATATGAGGCTTTTTGAGAAGCTAGGAATAGCCCCTCGAAAGCGTGTCAATTCTGAGTGAAGCCCTAAAACCCAAAGAAAGGCGTGATACCTCAAGATTTTTTTATTCATTCAAGCCAGAATACCTATAAGGTAGGGGTTGAAAATGAGTAACCTTATCAGAATTCAAAGAGACATTACCATTCGAAGACTGAAGAATTCCCCCAGGTCCATTTAGTAACAAAATACCATTTCGACCCAGATAGCAACCGTGTTGGGATATCAACCCTGATGAAGTTCTTCATACGTAGAAAAAAATGTTTCTTAACAAGCAACAAAAAATCTTTGGCCTTGTGTTTGAGTCCCCTTATATTTGAGTCCCTGAGTTAACCTCTGGGCTGTTTTAGAGATAGAGTTCAGTTTTTCTGGACCTATATTGACTTCTTTGAGAGCCTAGACTATTTCCAGAGTTTTTACGTTACATATACCTAAAAACGGAAACGGAATTCCTTCCCTTACCATAGTCCATTGGGCTTTGTTCCATGGATCCTGAGGCCAAGAAATACACACGCCAGATAATACTAACACATAAAATCTGAGCTCCCTTTAAATAGCATGATCTTAGACATATTCAATATTTCCCGTTTCTGCATCTCTGACAACACTCTGCTGTTGCTTCCCAAGATCGTTCTTTTGCTTCCTTAAGTGTCTCCCACTGCTATTCTATTATAAGTGACCAAGCCAATCACGTATCTAGTTATTGGATGAACAAATTACACGCACATATCGCTCGTGTGAACACGATTCACAACGAGGGCCGAGCAGAGAAGGGGGGAAACGGAGAGATTCTCTCTGGACAAAGGCTACAAAACACCTTTCGCATTCGAGGCAGCGATATAGAGAGAATTAAGGAGCGTCGTCATAACACAAAGCGCGACCGCAAGGTCCGATTCGAAGGGGTTCCAGAAAATGGATCTGTCAACGGCTCTTTGCCCTGTCAGTCTGATAATTCTCATTCTTCGAATAATAGGTAAGTCATTACGTCTCAGAATGTTGTGAAAATTTTGTGTTTAGTGTCCCATATAAGATCTAACCAGTGTCTCTACAGTAATGTAAGCAAAGCAACAAAGTAAGTACTCGTAGCCAGCCTCAGCTCATAAATCGTGAAAGTAGAAAGACGCTAATGTTTAACTCGACAGTTTGGATAGAAAATCCAACATAGGTTGTCCGGAAACCCTTGCTAGTGATGTGAGAATTCTAGCTCGACGGATTGGAACCCTAAAAAGGGAGGTGGAGAAGATCAAACAAATGCTGGAGAATGTGCAGTGAACTCTATGTGGGAAGTCAAAAGGTCATACCTCTTTTCAAGTAATCTTATGCGGTGCATAGAAGTTGTGATCATTCCAAAGTTTCCGAAACATATACAACACTTTTTGAACAAGTATTTTGATGGCGTTGCTGGGCTCCCTCGATGTCAGAATTACCAGCCTCTTGAGAGATGCAACGGTCTGGCAGATGTCAATGCACACGCGATTCTAATCACAGTGGAAGAATGAATACGTATACATACTGTAGATACAGGTACGCCAGATGTTGAGAAAAGAACAGATCAGCTTAGTACATATGTAGCGAAAGCGCTCTGGTCTTTTATTTTAGCTTACCCTGGCTTTCAGTCCCTGGGTGCAGTCCCTGATTTTGTTTTATGTTCCGACGGCCGACTCGGCGTCGACATCTCTTCATCGATGGTGCCTCGACCGGCTTGTGGGCGTGGGTACACGAAGGATCTTGGTCATCCTGTGCTGGCAAGTGAAAAAAGGATTTGGGCGGCATGACGCGTTGCAGTGACTGCGACTTGCGACGGAAAATATATCAGCTAGGCTGAGGGAAATCATTTTTCTCTCACGGGGCGAGAGCAAAAATTTTGCAGGCGAAAAATTCTGCGCATGGGCAAGCGAGTTGCCAAGGCGAGTCTTCCATGGAACGACTCTACATATTAGCTGCGTGAAAACCGTTTCACATCGTTGAGCAATGTTGAGACCAATGATTCGCAAATCGATTGGCCACGGTGCGAGCGAATACTGGCTGACTTTTCAAGCTACGATGATTAAGCTGCCACGGCGAGTGGTCCATGGAATGCCACTTCGGTCTAAGCCTCATACCAACTGCGTCGAAGGCCGTTTGACCAAGGTGAATCAACGTTGATGAGAGGAATGATTTGTCACGCATCGCATCATGTCAACCACGGCTCCAGGTGGATCCAGCCACTCCGCCCGCTCTCCACTCCAAACTCTTGAAATTTCTTATTTCAACGTTGAATCAACCGCCTCAACACCCAGCAAAAAGGCGGTCGCTCAGTGCGAATTTCGAATGAAGATCTCTGGGTCCGGCAAAATGTACGCAAGTGGTCGCTGCCGAAAAACGTACCCGGAATGGCATAAAAGACGCTCTTTTCCCGTCGAAAAGAAAAGCAGGGCTTTCCTCCTCACACTCCCGAGCCACTCGGGTGTTCTTTGCAGGATAAGATCTGCGTTACCAATAACTCTTCGCGGTACAGGCCCCGCGTATTCAAGTCTGCCTCGCAGGGGGACGCTGCGTTACCAAGGGAGACCCGCAGGAGAGTGCTGCGTCGACAAGTTCTCCCTCGCAGCAATGAGCCCTGCGATTGTAAGAGTGTGCTCCCTCGCAGCCAATGAGCCCTGTGTTGTATAAATGTGCTTCCTCACAGCCAATGAGCCCTGTGTTGTATAAATGCGCTCCCTCACAGCCAATGAGCCCTGTGTTGTATAAATGCGCTCCCTCACAGCCAATGAGCCCTGCGTTGTATAAATGTGCTCCGCAGGGACGCCTGCGATATCAAGAGTCTCCGCGCTGGAGACCGCCGCGATACCAAGTTCTCCCTCACAGCCTTGAGCCCTGTGATTGTATAATCTTGAGCTTCCATGCAGCCTTGAGCCCTGCGTTATCAAATTTGTGCTTGTTAGGCGACCCGTAGCGCCACGGTGCTCGTCCTGATCCTCTGGCGATTGCAGGCACCTCTTCGTGGTGTCAGAGACTAGTATTCGGGGGAGTGACTCGAAGAAGCCAAGACCTGCTCCAAAGAATCCATAGAAATTAAGAATTCGCTAAGAAACTTTGTGTTTTATGTGATTCAGCCTGTTTGTAGAGTTCACTATTCGTGTTCCTTGTTCACGTAGGGTGTTTTTTAGCCTTAAATCACGCCCTGGGCTTGGAGAATGAGCATTGTCTTTCATGTGGTGTAAATTAGAATATTGAGTCATGGGGCCGGTTGAGATTTTGGTGTATGATAGCGTGGTGGCCAATGTGGGCGACGGCTGTAATTCAAAGTTGTCTCCATTGGTGGGAATGCTTGTGTTTTGCCTAGGAGCGGCGGTAGAGTTTGTCCGGAGAGGCGAGTATTATGGACATCGAGAGTGGAACATGTTGAGGGTAACGGTTGAGGGTGAGGGGGAAGATGAGGGTTGCAGGTGAGGTTCAACGGTGATTGATGGTGTGTTGATGTTGAGGGCTGGAGGTCAGTGAGGGTTGATGATAACGGGACCGGACCAGTAAGTCCACATGTTAATGTGCAGCGCGGCGCGATTGCCGAGCGGTGAGGTGGCCGCCACCGGTGATCTGACCACCCATCGCCGTCCAACAGATTATTTCCAGCTAGCTCATGTCAAGAGCTAGGGCCACTTAGGAGTCCGAGAAGAAGAGACTTCTTTCGAGAGGGTTCGGCTCGTGGGAGAGTCCTCTCAAGAGGAAATCAGTCACAGGACGGCCTACTGAAGAGCACAGGCGACGCAGAAGGGTACATGTCATATGAGCTGGCTCTTCGTACTACTTCCCTCCTAGTCCAATCATTCTAGGCCTAGACCAGTCTTGAGATAGCCTAGAGAGCCACGCTGCCCCAATAAGTATTGTTACCATTCGCATATCAGCTGTGCAGAAGGAGTGCGTCCCCGCAGTTTTGATATAGAGTTTGTGCAGGACAGGGCCAAGCCGCACCATAACTTGTATTTGCCTGCTATCGTGTAAAATGTGCTTAGGCAAAATGTACTCAGCTGTGATAAGATAGATATCAAATCCGAATGAACATTAACAACTCTGCGGTTCAGTTAGCACGTAACCAGAGGCGCATCTATAACTTGATGTTTACATAACATGGAGATGGGACATTCATCGAGAAAAATATTGCGCTCATCATCGGTGAGTGGAACGAAATGGCATGACCGCTTGCCGCCCCTCCTGTCGCAATAACGTACGGACCCATGTTGATGAATGTTGAAACGTGTCGTCGGCGCTTTTCTGCGGTATCGCTGCGAGTGTTGAAACAAGAACAACAGTGAGGGAGGCTTTTGGATATACTCAATCATCAACAAAAAGCCGTGATGTCGCCGAATACTGCTTAAATCAATGGTTGAATCTTAAACCAGCTGCAATCTGAGGGTCAGTGGTGTTGAGACCCTCACAATTTGCAGCAATCATTACATCAGCGCAAGGGTAAGGGCTGGGTACAACTATAAGTACCTGAGCTCTCGCCAGCAGAACGGTCATTCTCAAACATTCCTTTATCATCCTGGGGCAAAAGATATCGAGCACTTCTTGATTTTGTCAGCTGCTGATAATTGGTACGAGACCGAGTGTATTCAACGGCAAATTGCTTTGGACCTGTCCCAATGCAGACGGCGATTCTAAGCTGCCACCATGGCTTGCTTTACAAACGAAGCTGGCAAGCACGTTCTCATCGCTGGAAATTCTGTGTAACCAACTGACCATGTCGTCAAACCGCTGATGCGAAGATGACTGCTTCTCCCCAAACTACGCTATGCCCAATGCAGCCGCAAGCGGAAGAATGCTCCTTTCTCGTGTCGCTACCGAACGATGCGGACTTGACAGCAGTATTGTAGTTCAGAGGCATTAATTATCTTATTGTTCAAAGGGAAACATTAGGCTATATATACACAACGAGAAGAACAAGTTGATTGGAAGTCAACTTGGCTCTTCGTATAGACAATGCGGAAATTAATTCCGATGGTGCGGTTCGATTCCTGATCTGCACCAGCCTCGTATCACACCACAAGGGAATTCGCAGGGGACAGCTGCGATACCAATTGAACTCTGCAGGAGAGGGCTACGTTAACAAGTTCCCACATAATGCGTTGCTTTCCCGGGTTTGAGTGGGAATTCCCGCTGCGTCCTCTGTATTAACGGCCATACAGGGGTCCTACGCTCGGCGATATTGTCCGGCGTCGTCAGCAGGGTCAAGCACAAGGACCCTTGGACACCATCTGATACTCCCTACCACGGAAGCCTGCAACTAAATATTTTGCCGTTCCAAACATTACGGAGAAGGTTCATGGCTATTGCCTTATCCGAACATGAAGTTGGTAGTATATCATCACCCCAGTCCCATGAAATCTGGGCCTCACATAAGCCTCTCCCACAATCATGAAATATTTCACTAAAATCGAGACCGAGCCCCTATGCGAGTTGATTTCATCGCCTGTCCAGAAGCAGGCTGATCCACCTCAGCCAACTACGACGGGCCCTTCAAGCCTCGATAAGATAGATGCCCAGTACCAGCAAGCAATATGCAGCGTCTTAGAACATACGCGGGCTGGGCGAATGGTAGAAGCCAGCCGGTCACTGCTAAAAATTTCCGAGTGGCTTGTTACTAATGCACGCGATCTTGGTAGGCTGAGCTCCTCTTCATTATTTGACTTTTCTTCGAAAAGGTACAAACTCGATTGGGGGGGCAAAGTTGGGCAAATGAGATAGCTGTCATACTAATCGTAATCAGGAATGGGCCCTTTTCTTGCCCCAGGTTTATTTGGCTTTGGCCCTTCTTTTCAAGGCTATATACATCCATCATTGGATAGCCCGTTTGGGAGGTAGTCTGACGGAGAAGTAAGTGACTAATCGCTTTTATGGTATTACGTAGGACTTCTGCAGGACGACCCACTCCTATATCCTGGTCATCTGCAGCTCTGGAATGACCTTAACCTTTACTGGCTCTGCTTTTGTCAGAAGCAAAAGGATTTGACCCAGGACTTGATTGCGAAGGGGGCGCAGTCGGCGCAAGCGATGCTATTGAGCCAGGTTTACCTTAAGGTCATAGGCATGGAGTTGATCGAAATTTGTGACCAACTTGAGGCGCACGGTCTCGTCGATTACCAGATGGGCATTTGGGAAGAAGAGATCCTCTACGGTAGATGGCTTTCCCTTTTTCAACGGCTTTAACACCCCAGATTTTAATCAAGACACTTTAGTCCTGGATCAATGCCTGGATCTGATGGAGAGCAGACCCGAGCTCCTCCGCATAGTGGATAAATGACGAATGTCATCGTCTTCCGAATTATTTCCCGGGAGGTCTACCGCGTCCAAAATCCCCTAGAAAATCTTCCCACTCTCCATCTGCAGCGAAACCTAGCAGCCCCCAACCCAGTGGCTATAGCAGCGATCGACAAGTTTAAAATTATCAGTACGCCCATAGTACCAAATTGCTTCGTTTAAATGCTGTGATAATGTAATTGGGATTCATTATCTTGACTTATAGCGTTGAAGTGCTGTTCGTTAGAGAATTCGAGTATAATATGCTGCGGGAGGGGGACTGAGGGTAATTAGCGCGACGCTGTCGATAGGACCACCAGGATGTTTGCAGGCAAGTTAAAATATATATCAGATAACTAAATCGCTGTACAATGGAGGTCTGCCGCTGTGAGCGCGTGAGAATAGGTTATTCTGTTATTGGAAGCGAATTCGTGTCCGGTATATTGTAGATCGTCGGCACCCGAAATCGGCTGCAAGATTTGAAACTGAAACGCCACACTCTAAGCTATATAAAATAGCTGCCTGTTAGCTAGGGGATAATTCAGCTTTTTTGGCACATTTTCCAGCTAAATGCTGACCAAAAGAGACCATGTGGTGGTTGTGGAAGAGAAAAAAAAGTTAGGGGGCCGACGCATAAAAGCGCCCTAGTGTGGTGCCGGACTTATGGGGACACTTTATGTGATAACCTGACCATGTAATACCAGCAAGGCGGTAACCATCCAAACTCGGATGCAAGATCGCAGATGAAAATTGTTTCTGAGGAAGAGTCTTCCTCGACACAACTCCCTCCATTATCCGTATACGACATGTCCCCTGATATGAAAAGTCTATCCAGTTTTGATGCTAAGGATAGGAGATTTGTAGCATCACCGCATGTACTTAAGTGGTCAAATGAGGAGTTAACTGTTCCGATTTATTTTTCTTCCCGACAAATTCGTTCTGCAGCGCTTTGATGCCTGTTGTTCCGTCGAGGCTACATCCATTCTACTCGCGCTATTGAACGTAAACTCGTCTTTATAGATCAACAGAATCTATTTCTGAGGTCTTCTAAGGGGTGCTGGGATTTGATTGGTGTTGACTACTGGATGGATGACTTGCTTGGATCCTCTGAGTTGGTGAATCAAGAAATTCAATTATCACCGGATGATGCGGAAGACGTGGAACTTGTAAGCTGCACTATTTAAGCTGTGTTTACTTTTTTTTTAACTGCCTCCTACTCGAAAATACAATCAACCAATTGATGAACACCTGGAAGCATTTAAACGCGACCTTCGTTTTGGGGGGGGAGCCTGTCGGAATATTTAACGCAAATAAAGTAGTTTTCGAAATCTGTTATAACTCTACACACACTGGAGTCCTATCCGCACTTACTAAAAGTTTATGGACTAGTATGCATTCCGAGTGAATGAGATCAAGCGGAACCAATTTGGGATAAAAAGATTGATTGATTGAATCGAAATAAGCATGCGATCGAGCGCAGGTTGAAATACCTCTGTACGTGCGTATACTCGGTGGTTAATACACCGAGGTTGCTAGGGGAATCAATATACAATAAAAAACACAAAGGAATGTGGGTTCCTTGGTAACCAATCGATTGCTAGTTGTAATTTACCACTCCATGCGCCGACAAGTCCTTTCCCGGATAATATATTCGCAAAGGGAGAGATTTGATTGGATGTTTCTAAAATTAGTTTCTCTACCATCCATCGGTGTTAGTATGTTGGAACAGAAATGTACGTCCAATCAGGTCCATGGATAGTTGTCTGTGTTGAGATAGGTAGTTTTAATGTTCTTATTTAGGTTGCTATCAAAAGTGGGAACCCCATCTATTTAAACATCCATCGCTAGTCCCGCCATAAGCTTTGACCACCGCGATACTCAACGCGCGCGAATGAAAAGTTCATATATTCATATTCGCATTACTTTATTCCTTTCGGAGCCCTATGCACGGGCACAATTCCAGCCGCATCTTACAATACAGGCTTCAGAGGCAGCATTACTGAGAGAACGACCGGCTGTAAACAAGGGAAGAGCAAAGTTAAAGTGAAAGTTTTGCAAGAGAGTCGCAAGATGTTCAGATTCAACAGAAAATGCTTTCTCGATTTGCGACAGCTAGGAAGACGTAAGAAGCCAAATTCGTAACGGAAGGGTACGCCAATATTCAATCGCCCTTGCTAAATAAATCTCAAGTGGGTGGAAACTGCGCTCCATCCCATAGCGACACCGTTTTTAGTGTCATAGACGCATCATCATCTACTAGAGGGTGCATTGGTCCAGAAATGCGCCCAGAAAGATCCATTTTTGAACAGTGATGACAAAGTCCTTCAACATGAAACTCATGATCCTCCATTCTGCAAGCCCCTTGGCAATCCAAGGTGCCAGAGGATGATGATGAGGGGGACCAATAGTCAGAGGCTAAGACCAGACACAGGACAAAAGAAGCATCGTCAGGCAAAAAAGAATTGATATTGCGTGAGAAACAAACGTGTAGCCACCGCGGCCGGGCTCTTTCGGTCCCTATGTGCAAAACTCCCGAAATATGACGGGCAGACTGAGGAATAACGATGACCCCTAGCAGCCAAAACTATCAAAAGGCCGCCCGATCATCCTCCAATAGGACGTATGCGGCGCAGGATCAATGCGTGTATAAGTTAGTACCGCTGTGCAAGAAACTCAAACCAGAATGTCACTCCGTTGGTATGTAAAGGACGCGCTTCCTGCTGCCTTACATAGATAGGCGACGTAGCAAGATAAGATTCGAGGCCATTACTGCAAATTTGGACCATAGAAGTCCCTCATGTTGGGGTCCATCATGTTTGGGTCTATGCTGTGGTGTGGATGTTGCGGATTCAAGTTGTTGGGTTGTGCTGAGGAGTGGGCGGAGAGGACTTGGTCGAGAAAGTTGCGGATTTCGTCTAGCCCGGCATCACCACGGTCTGTCTGAACCATAGTCTGCAGGGAGGCGGCATCGCCGGTACGTATAAGCCTAAGGAGCGATTCGAGGATTGACCTAGTATCGTCCAGCTCCTCCTGTGTCCTTCTCGCGGAGGCTTTCCGACGCTTGTCAGACAGTTATCTGTCACGCATCCACGGCCATGAGTGACGCATTCCGTACACGGCATGCCGGTGCACTAGAGAGCGGATGAAGGGTCAACGCTCGAGAAAGTCCATATAGCGGAGGAAAGAACGCAACGAGGGCAAAAGGAAGGGGGAGAGAGAGAGCGAGAGAGAGAGAGTAGGGTAAGGGAGAGAAGGGAAGGGGGGATGGGAGGTCGTTTGTATCCTTGTCCGGCGTTTTTGGCACTCTTTGCACGTTGTGGAGGCCCTTTTCATCTTGGCATCCTCTGGAGGAACGCCAACAGCACCTTGCCTCTGGTGGTAGCTCGTCATCTCTCACGCAGTCAAGTCTCGATTTTGTCCGTCACCCCCCCTGTGTATATAGAAACCTGCATTGCAATATACAGACACATTGCCTCCCTACAAGGGAGCGCGGACGGGCCTTCTCTGACGCTACAGTCTAATGCGTTTACGCATAAGACCGCAGCGACAGGTGACCCGTTACGACCAAACTGTACACTTTCCTGTTCCCATCTTGACTGCGAGAGGTCACCAATAAAAGACATATTTTACAATCGTTCTCAGCTAAGTTTGGTCTGGTCAATGGATAATCTACGCTAAGGTCTTGGCAGTGCGGCCGAGAAAGAGCGTCTCAGTGTGTACTGGCCAAGTCGATTTCGAGAATGCCTGTACCTAACTCTGAGAGACCACCTAATAGATAAAGAGAAGAGACTTTGAATTATTAAATACTTCGTCATAGGAAGTTGTGGGTGAATATATATCTAAAATTCGTCCAATTACAGGTAGATCAACCACTATTGGAGCTTGCTTAGGTATTATGCGAACGACACATATGACTATGTAATAAATATTTACCTTGCTTATGGAGACCCGATCTTCTATGTCGTTTCGAAAGACGATTATGATCATTTTGTTGATCAAGTCTATTATAGAAACAATATGTTGATACGAAAGAATAGCTCGGGAAAAGAGAAGGCATAAGAGAAAGGAAGAAGAAAAGAATAGGAAGAAAAAAGGAATCTGGGAAAGATAACGTTAACGCAAGAACAAAACTCAAAGACTATTAATCTTCCCAAGTTAAGAACCATCCCATAATAAAGCTTCGAAACTATAGGCTACAACCTAGCATGGATAGCCGCTCAATCCGCCTTCCCTGGGTTGTCAGGATATTAAGACATTGCTGCCGGCAACGACACAAGCCTTTTATCTTTATTATTCGATGAAACCATATTAGTTGCCTGTTGTTGCCTGTTGTTGAACATCACTTGCAGTATCTTCGCGCAGGACCCTTCCCGTCATCTGCTCCACGTACCGCTTGATGTACCCCTCACACTGTGAATGCTTGAGTATTTCAAGTCGCAGATCCAACACCTCGTATTGTAACCTTTTGGTGCCAGCCAAAAGTTCCTTATTCCTAGTGGCTTGCATTTTCAGAGTCGATTCGTCCTGCTGGTTCTGCAGTTTTCTTTTTTGACGGCATCGTTTTGCTGCTTGACGATTACGTTTGAGCAGCAGTTCACGATGGGTAATGGGCATTAATAGTTTTGATGGTTGCATGGTTGATTCGGTATTGGAGGGGAGGCTGCCATTTATCTGTTCAGGCTTCGGCTTAGTATATTCGATAGAAGCGATGGAGCTTTCTCTATCCTTATCCGGACCGGTGGGTTGTGTTTTTATATCCAAGGAGATGTATTCTTCCGCGGTCTTCAGAGTTTCGGTCTGTCTCAAGGTTGATGGTGCAATGCACGATAGGCTACATCTCTCATTCTGTGATATGTTCTGGTTGGGTTGGAGGGGAGAATATGGTTGTATTGATGATGCCTCCAAGCTGAAGTTTACTGACTTCGGGAAGATCTGATTGGATTCTCCCGGTGACAAAACTGGCGGTGGCGAAATGAGGGGTAAACCGCAAAAGGAGTCATCTTGTGCCTGGGTGGTGATGGTGTCGAATGGGATAATGTTCAAGTCGTCGGGGCGTAGACTGTCGATACCGTTAAGCCACATAATGTTTCTGAGATTCCCCATTGTCGTCGTTGCTGTTGCGGACTCAAAATCCAAAAACTTACGGAGAGCTCGGATTATTATGTGCTAGGTTTAAATGGGCTGAAGAATCTTTTGATTTGCCTGGCTATATAAGTAGTTCACGGAAGAACTAGCAATGTAAGCCACGGCGGAATTTCGTTATATATGTACCAGTTTATTGTAGATAGTGGACGAAAGTTGCTGGACGAGCCAATAAATCTACAACCCTTTGTCACGTCATCGTACAAAATAGAATCAATTATTTGCAGAGAGGCAAGATTTCAATCCAGGAAAAACACGTCCTCGAATTTCCCTGCACTGTCCAGTGACTCACTCTCTTAGGACTTTCACAGAAATCGACCGGATATTTAGGCCATCGAGTGAGAAGACTCGGGAGCCTAGTCACCTACCTCGACCCCTTAGAGTTTGCCTTCCTACTAGACCAAAATACAAATACATATGTATTGAGCCTAGTGGGTGGGGTTTACAATCAATCGCGGAGCAATACGCAGGCTACAGCAATTATGTATTTCCATGACACACATGTAGGTTTTAACTACTAATTTCCTAAAAACGAACTTAGAGCTTCGTCAAATCTTGTCGTGACCGAATTGCCGTTCGCGTTGTTAGGCTGCCCTCGTGGCGCGCGGCTTCGAACTCGTTGTGACGCCTCAGCGAAGTCTAGAACGGCCGCGACCGTCCTAGCCCGGGACATAGCTCTCTAGAAAGTTGCTACAACATCGAGCCTCCGTCACAAGTGATGCTACGAAAACGTAAAAACCGTGAGGGGCCCACATGAGCGTGTCACCTTCAGTTTATCTATTGAACTACAACTCCAGGGTGTGGAGCAAGAGGTGCAAAAACGCCAGCAGAGAATGAAGCTTTCCAAAAAGCGCTCAGGGAAATCGGGGGAATCATTACTCAAGTCGCGGACGGAGACCTTTCCACAAGAGTCCAGATACATCCACTCGAATAGAACCTATCATCTTCGTTCCGTCACTAATATTTCAAAGCTGATGTACAGTGTGAAATAATGCTGTCCATCAGCTTCAATCTGGTATTACAGCAAATTGTAGTGTATTCAATACACTGTATATAGTTATAGACTTTTCTGAAAAACTCGACTATGAGCTAGGGGTTGCATGACGGCGCAATCAATTTAGGTTGCCAATTCAAAAACTATGTTAAAGTGTGCATTATCTGTGGAAGAGTGTATCCTTTCTTTACACCGGTCGCTCCTTTGTGCGACATTCCCTTGGTTCGAGCTTTGTCACATGCTCTTTGGCGATATGCTGTGTCTGTTAGCAGGATACATAGCCGTAATTTAATGTCGCACTGTTACTTACATTATTGGCGCTAAAATAGGAAACGAATTATCAGAATATCAACGATAAAAAGTTCATTCTTTCTGTTGGTATCACCAGCTAGGTAACTACCGTGTACCGTGTACATAGTTAAGTGAACAGTTTATGCCCTTAAGCAAAAGTTGATTGATTCATGCATAATAGATGCAGGTATGTATGAGGCCCGGTCCAAAATACTCCTGAATCCCATACGCCGATACTCGGTGGTCTCAACACCGGTGCCGCAGCTTAGCGCAGGGTCACCCAGCACAGAAATGTGATCTATTAGTCCCCAGCGGTAAGTTGCCGCTAGCTTGTTCTGACAAAAGGATATGTCCCGACATGCAAAATGGCGCTTTTGTGGTTTCTTAGACCAAACCTTATCCGTATTCAGTGGCAATAAGATACGAACTCTGCGATTTGCTGCCCGATGGAGTACGTATAATAGTAGATAGAGATAGGTCTTCCAAATTTCAGTTAGTCTTCAGCTCCGAAATGCTCTTTAAAACAATATAACCTCCAATACTCGTCCATCACAAATTAAGACTATCTTCTCTGTCCACGGGAGCTTTCTACCAAGGAGACATTAGCGGTTGATGGAAGGACCATCACTACCCCGCCAGCTACCTGCCCCAGTCGCGTGCGACAATTGCCATAGAGTGAAGAAAAAGGTACAATACGTAAAATTTCTAGCAATTTGCAGCGGACTAATAATTATGGAAAACATATAGTGTAATAGGCAAAGACCGTGCTACATCTGTGTCAGGGATCGCCAAACCTGCCAATATACGAGAATCGATGGAAGGAGAAGACATGAATTGGCAGCTCTAGTGGATTCCTCTTCAAGGGAGATTGAACGCCTTGAAGCCATCATTCAAAGGTTGAGACAGCATAGTACACCTGCTGGGCAACCACCTGACAGCCAAAGAGAAGAGGGTCTCGAATCATCAGACACTTTGCAACAAGAAGTTGTGCATGAAGATATGCCTATAATTCCTCCGACTATAGGTAGGTCAACCCTGCTTGGTACTGGCTCGGATACTATACCAACAGAGAACACCACTTCCCTCGCAGTGAATGCCTACCTTACTCATGGAGACCCAAATTTCCATGTCATCCCAAAAGAAGATTGTCTTTATCTTATTGACCAAGTCTATCACAGAAGCAATACGCCTTCAAATTCTGATATCTGTGAGCTTTTTGCTATCGCCGCTGCTGGATGTCACTTCAACAATATCCCGAACCGTGACGTTATAATGTCGAACTTTATAGAGCATTCATCTGCCCGCTTGCTAAATGGATCAAAACATCAAAATTTGCAAAGGATACGGTCATATCTTAGTTTATCAATGTGCTGGGACCCTGCTAGATCGCCCACTGCGAGGGTTTTGATAGGTGAATTCCAGCTAGGCTATGTTGTTGCTTTTATTAATTTGTGACTAGCATCCGCCCTACATCTAGCACGTTCGGAATTGCCGAAGGCACTACCAACACAGCCTTCCAGATTGCAAGAATGGATCAGCTGGGCGAGGGATTTTCGAACGTTGATTTTTTGTGATTGGTGCGTACAAATCTTCGACATAAAGAGCTAAAATTGACGTGCTTTCAGTTGGTCATCTGTTATCCTGAAAAACTGTGTTGACGTCACCGAGGAGGAACAGGATATTGTAAGCAGATTATTCCATTCCAGCATTCACAACGGATATTTACTTATAATTTACTTATGTAGATTGAGATTCTAGCTACCATAGAACCTCAAGCAAATGGTGAAGGCGTCGTTGGATACAATTCAATACATGCGCAGCTGACCAAGATTGCCTTACTGAGCGCCCGGACATACTCTGATGTCAATTTCAATTTGCTTTCGTGGCCGGATGTGGAAAACCTTTCAGATACTTTAGATACGTGGCGTCAGGATCTTCCAAGCAATCTTCGCCTAGTATCTGTATTATTCCAGAACAGTGGAATAACTTTGACTGACACACGAAATATTATGGTGATACACGTCTTATATATTGGATCTCGATTGATTGCATACCAACGCAAGCTACAAGAATTAGGGGTCGGTGGGGCTTTGCGCATTCCCGAAAATGCCCTAAATACATATGTTGGGTTTTCTAGGCAGATTTCACGCATCATCTCTTTTACGTTCCAAGATGGTCATTTCGTGAGATGTTGGCTCGTGATGTGGGTTAAAGCACCTATACTTGAATAATACTCACTAATAATTTCCCAAGTCATGCCAGTTATTTATCTGCAATTATGTTACTATTGGGTATATGCCAGAATATACTTCAGCGAACAAACATTGAGGCCCTTTCGAGTGACCTGCTTGCTGTTCAAGAGAACTGTAAAATGCTGGTTAGCGTAAGTGAATCTTCAGCCTCGGGTTTATCATTTCTTCAGCTTCTTGAGCCTTTATATCTTCAAACTAAAGAGGTTGTAGAAGTTGTCTCTGGAATGACTGGTATGCAAGGAGGTGATCCAATGCGTATCAACTCAATAATCTATGGCTCCCCTTCATTTGATTCTTTAGTGCTTGTGGTTCTTATGGGTGAACTTATTGACGCACTCAATATCCATTCTATCACAGGACTTGAATAACCACCAAATAATTCCTGACAAAAGGAATGTCATCACCACGCTTCCTCTTCAATTAATAGCGCATCTCGCTCAACCGTGCTAGTTCTAAATTCAAAAGGGAGTGCATTTCTGCTGAGTGATGAAATTGTGAGAAGTCTTAAACCTGAGCAGACTTTGGAGATTGAATTTAGATCACTTATCCGACACTCGAATATAATTGAGGTACTAGATAGCCTCTAGATGAGAATAAGAATTTGAAATGATGGATTCGTTTTTGGCAATTCTACAAGGAAGATGAGTTTTGACTCAATTCCATCATTTCAAGGTACATAGAGCTCTCACTTAGCTCTAGGGATTGAATAGTGACATTCACGTAAGCCATCAAGGTAACATTATTTGACGCATTATCAGTGGTGATTGTGAGTACTCGGTCTGTAAGCTCATTCTGTTAGAGGAGTTTGATTAGCACCTCACTAAGATTCATAGTGGAGTGGTTACCCAAGAGATACTCAAAGCCAAGAAGGAGCTCTTAGTACTCCCAGTCATGGTCAATCAAGTAGCCAGTAACCGCAAGCTTTAGCCTTATCATATATGCTCCTAGCACCTATTTCGCAGTGGCTGTCATACCGAACTCGAGCCGATATCTGCTCGTGGTGATTTCTTGTGACGCGAGCACGACGCCATACCTTAAGATATTCCAGGGCGACCTGAAAGCGTGTTCCAAAGCTTCATATCTCTCCGAAAGATCACGTAGAGTGATATTTCAAGTCCCGTTCTCGGAATTATCCTCCTAAACTAGCAAGCTAAGGCTGACGAAGGGCTCCAGGACACTGTATCGGTGCCAGCTGCTAAGGCAATACGTGGTGTTGTGTGGGAGGAGAATAGTCTCAGAGCCGTCGAGGGATTGAGATGGGAAGTAGGCTGGTCGATGAGTCTGCATACCAAATTATCTACACGATGTTGAATCTGTCGAATATTCATCATCGTTGAGAACAAGTTGAATAAGGCCGCAGAATTCATTTTAACTGGTAGAAACTCATATTTATGAAAGTTAACTCGACGCCTTGTTGGTGTTTCGACTGGTGGTACCTACGTCACGAATGTTGAACCGACGTTGAAATCCTGGAATAAGACTTCAGAATAGTTTTTTCATCGAGATGAAAACTGCGGTGCCAACCGAACTAGCATATAATCAATCGTGAAACGGTTCAACAGGCCACAATATGAGGGCCCTCGATCACAGCTGCGCGAGCGACAAGGCGGCCGCAGCACTATAAATATGTCCCCCAGACCCCAGCACAACGGTCTCTTTGAAAACACGTCCCATTCCGCCTAACCCTAAGACATGAGCTGTTTCTCTTCCACCTTGCCCTGCTTTTTTACTGACGCGATTGAACATATCAAGTCTGGCCTATGCCTTGTGCCAGGACGAGATGGCACCCAGTGGCACAGGTCTGTGCCGGAATATGGCCTGCACCTTGGATCTTCTTTCTGTGGTACGAAACCTGATCTCTGATACTTGTGATTGTACCGACGCTCACAACACTGCCTCTAGCTTGTCTATGCTCGATAGAGAAGTACGTTCATGGCAGGTATGTGCATCAACCCTGGCACTTGACACCATGCTGACCGGAATATTCGATGACAACCAGGCCTGTTACTAGTGTTCCCACGAATAGAGTCGACGTCTCTCCCGTGCCTGGATTTGGCAGTCTTACTCGGTTTATGAGAATAGTGAGTGAAGCAGAATCTCCAAGTAATCTCTACTGACTATTTATGATAGATCATGCCGAAAGCGGCCCCGCACGTTGATTGAATGCTGGCATAATAAACCCAATGCTCTCCGAGAACTAGTTGGTAGGATCTTAGCAGTGGGGCTTCGTGGCTGGTCATCCCGGGCTGACGATTCGCTAGGTTTGTAGGCAATGCTTCCAGCACAAGTTTCGCGCGGTTGGTCAATGTTCCCGATCCTTCCATCGACGCCAGCAGAATCACATGCCATGGAGTCCATCCTGACCAAAAGCTTGGATATTGGTTCCCAGTTGGGACTTCTTCCATTATGACCCAGAAAGAATTGCTAATGTTTCCTTTCCCTTGCAGGTTCAGTGTTAATATTGCGCCCGACGCGACCGACCTGGGCACGACACGCTGCATCGCGTGAAGTCACCGTATTGCCATACACCCACCTGCCTTGCTCGAAACTCAGCCTGCGGCACACGAGCCTGATGGTGCCGGCCATTGACTCTTAGTACAGTCGCGCTCCCACCGGCCAAAGAAATCTGGTTGGAACGCCGCCGCTTTGCTCGACCTATTCAATAGGCCTCGATTGAGGAGAGCTCGGCCCTCCGGCTGCCCAGAAGGTAGTACTACCGAAGGTGTGTTTGCGCCTCCTGGCCTTACCTTTTCAAATCGATGTTGATAACTACCATACGAACAGCCACCATCCTCCTCATGGCTCCCGACCCTTTGCCGTCCCTACGTCCATTGAAACCCTTTTCGATCGACCGGATCCGCTTCCGTGCTGGACCGAGTGAGCTGCCGTCCGCTTCGTGTCTTACTCTAAAGACCTGGTATCGAACTGCAAGTAACAGTCAGTTAAGTGGATAGGAAGCTATACCCGTTGGATACTGGACTAAATTGAATACCAGTGAACGTAGGCCGGGCTACATAGATGGATTAATTCCAGTATACAGACGGAGAACGTGAGTCTTTAATTCTTTGGATTCTCGTTCATTCACCAGCTAATCGCCAACAAGAGATCTTTCGCTGCATTCCTGAAAGGGGCGCTATAGTCGATTGGGTCGTGAGTTTCGCGACCTGCAAACCAAACTAGACACTACACCAACACCGCCACCTTCCAATATTGAAGGAAGCCTGTGTTCTATTGCTGCAAACGATGGTCCAGCACAAGCTGGAGGTACCAGGGTAGCACACAATGCATTCTGACAGGACGTGTCTGCAGTGGATAGCATTCTATGGCGGTTTTCGCTTTCCTGAAACACCGCTCTTGACATGTCGAACTACCATGGGCTTTCCGAGAGCATGCTTCATCAGCCGGTGGGGGGGGGTATGTCCTCATCAAGCCATCATTCACCCTAGGGAGACCGCGCGTGTGGCCTGCCATGCGCCAAGAGGACAACATGTCGCAATCCTGGGATAGCACTACTGCTCGAGCGAGCGCGCCGGGATGCCCTACGAAACCCGAGCCCGATATGCGTAGAGATCACAGCACGATGAGAGAGGGTCGTATTAATGCACAACCTTATGGGTGTCGGTCGGTGAGCTGCGTTTCATTCCCCTCCAGTGGCCATTAAGTATGAGGCTTATAAGTCTTGTTCCACCCCAGAAGCGCAAAAGTTTCCTGCACGGCATGCTGACCACTTAAAGTGTGCAAGGAATAAAGGGCGTGCACGCCAAGCTACAACCCACACCGATTCCTGAAACATCAGTGCCCAGGCTTAAACTCCCCATTCACCAGTAGGCTACGACCTGCACCCGCCGTATTGCCGAAGAGTTGCAAATTACATATGGCGGCCTCCGAGTAAATAATCGATCTGTTGAAAGCAACCCAAGCAGTTGAGCAGAACGGCTGTTAAACTTGACGGAGCTCTCTGAATAGGGCAATGGGGTTGTACTCGATCGCATCTGATCAGGCGATAGCCTCATGGATCCGAACCCTCAATTTTACCCACTGATGGGGCCACCTTCATGCCTGCCACTTCAGTGAAGAGTGTGTCAGTGGAGATGCACAGCTGGACACAGCAAACATGCCGTCTGTAGAGAGCTGTACAAAGCTGCTCTCTGGTAAAATCACACTGTGGTACCAATGGATTACCCCGATAAATGAAGTCCTTCCAAATAGCCATTCGATGGCATCTCAGGCTGATTTGTCCCAGTGATGGCCAAACTTTTCAAGGCGATGCTTAACCCTAGCTGTGCATGAGAGTTGATTTCCCGTCTGGAAAAATGAGAGCCTCTTAAATAGAGTCGCGCTCCCGCCATGCTCTATTTGAAAGGCTCTGATTCCATATTTCACAAGCTTATGTGCTAGGCAGCGTCGCCGCGGGATTTCAACATACAACCATGGGAGCCATTCGAATAACCTCACACACTCGGCAGATGCCAGACTTCCGGCATCGATTACAGCGCGCATTATCGTTGTTATCCTTGGAGTCTGAGTACAGCCGACGCCCATCCAGGTCTCCTCCATCAGGTGACACCACCGAGGATCGGTCGTCGACCCACCCAATGACAGTGGGAAAGGAGTTCTACCGATGCGGCAATGCAGAGGATATGGGTCACAGCTCGACCTGCCCGGGGACAGCAACATGCTTGCTCTCAAAAACGTCGCAGAGTTAGTACTAGTGCCCCCGCACCGGATGCAAGATTTGCACTGACCGTATTTACACTTCAAGAAAGTCAGTTTTACATCGTCCCTACAAAGAAAGGACGAAGAGCTGGTCGCAGCCCAGGTCCCTAGAGAGTTCATTGGCGAATCAAAGCAAGTGGATCGAAGATGTTCGCAGTGATCTAGCAGATCTTTTGGCCGACTGGCGGTTATTGAAACGCAAGTAGAGAAGGGAATCAAATGTGAAGCAAATCATGCGTCAGATGAACCGGAGCAGAAGGCTGGGCAGACCCGACGTTCACAGCGGTGAAGACGACCTAACGATGTTGGATAGGGGTCCTGAAGATATTGTCGTGCGATTATTCGATGAGGCGGCATTGTAGTAATCTCTTTTTGGTTGAAGCATTTCTATCGCGTTTCTTATTGTGATCAATCAATAGTATGTTAAAATTGCCATGATCAGCACACCTTCTAGAGGCGGCAGAAGGCGATTCAACGCCTACAGTGCAGACAATGGAATTGTGTATTTATCACGTGGGGGTACGTAAAGAGTTTCTTGGTGAATCAAATCCAATAGAAGGAAGATACAGAGATTTACTGTAAACGCATTCGCCAGCACCGTGGTCTACCCAATTGGCCATATTATCATACCTAGGAGCGAAAAGGGTTCAATCCGGTTCTGAATTTATCCCGACCCAAAAGTCCAGGATCTCATTATTCTTTCGATCTTGAGGCGACAGCCATGCCGATGCCGCATTCTTCAAATTGGGCAAGGCTCGAAAGAATTACTTTTTGAATTTATCATACGGGAAAATTGAAATGAAGAAACACTTGTAACGCAAAGAACACAACTGATATAGGGAGCCTGAGCTCTTCTCACGATTAATCGGATCTTATTGATGGATAATTGGTTTACGAGTAGAAGTCGTGCGTTTCTGAGAAACTCCCAGGACCTGAACAAGTACGGAAGCTTTCATTCTGCTTGACCTCTCAAGCTTGAGTGACAGCTTCGCCTCAACCAACCAAGATCTTCCATTCATATGTTGTAACATGGAGAGGACGCCATCGCTCTCCGATCTCTATTATAGTGAATCGAATATGCAGCTCTCAATCCTTCCATGCCATCAGACCGCTCTCAAGGACATCTCATCTCCGAGAAAAAATATCACCTTATATATAAGAAGCTCCCTCTGGGCGGATTTGAGGTGTTATGGGAGGAACAACTAGATGAAAACGATCCAGGAGCCGTCCATCGAAAAGTAATCTGTGCATTATTCGTAACTGATTGGGCAGACTGTGTTTGGCACGGGCATACGGGTTCTTGAATGCCTGTTTGTGATGAAAGTGCCTCTAACCCATTGCTTCCCAGAAGGGAGGGGGTTGAGTGGGATACATACGTCAATGAGGAGTCTGAAGAGACGAGGAAAATAATTTTGGTATGTGGAGAAAGAGCGCTCAAGGCCTCTAATATTTGAGGTACTGCAGTATCTGTAGCAGAATTAGATGTTAGTATGTTTAATCGTGAGCCTAGTTCTGGAGATCTAGGCCTCACCTTCTGCAAAATAGTATAGTGGCTGATTCACTGGACTTCCAAGATTCGCTTCGATGGAAAGCGACCCCGGGTTAGAAAACGCATCTTGCATCACATCAACTTCGTAGCTTCTTTCCATTGGTAATTGTGCTCCTGGTGATATGCTCAGTTCCGAGGGCGCCGAATATATTGTCTCATTCACGAAGCCTCTCCCGTCAGCAGTACAAGGTGTCTGATCAGCAAGCCATCCCGGCGATTGTGCGAAATTCAAATCACCAACCCATGAAGGCGTTGATATTAGCTTATAAGAAGACATGAATGGCGCGGATGCTTCCATGGCCGTGGGCGATGGGTCATGGGAGTTGACGTTAGGTTCATTATACTGATGGGATGCATGGCGAGGTGATATGGGAGGGGAAGGAGTTAATGGCTGATCCCAGCCATTTAGAGCGGCTGCTTTTCGAAGCTCACTTGCGAGTATACGCTCTCGGAGCGTGGCGATTCGATCTTTTATCCTGCGGCCTGATTCAATAGATGTCAGCTTCGCTCTCCTATGGAAGCATCTGGATCGGAACACCAACGGTGGTTCCTTTATGATATCCTGTTTTGGAGTCGACGTCTCTCTAAGGGGTCCTGTCCTTTGCTTGGAGAAGCCTCGTCGCTGCGGGGAGACTCTGATGGTTTGTCGACTCTCATTGCTTGTTTCTTTCGTGGAAATCGTGGGTATGCTGTGCCTTCGTGTTCGGAAAGTGAGATAGAATTTTTAGCTGGATATCCTCAGGTATCAGAAACCTGCATCAGGAGATCATAACTGAACATATAGGGTCATCATCCCTGTCTTTGTATAGGCTAGGAATCCATGCACTTCCAATAGAGAGATGCAGAGGAAAAACAAAGATTGCTGCCTCGAGTCAATTGTGCCGTGACATGCACCTTCACGACGGATCCACGGAGAGCCAGTAGCTTGGTCACAAAACCACTGGCAAAGACTCGAAACCAAGGCTCACATCAGCGTGATGCCCGGGGTCCATACACAATGCACTTCTCAGATGACTCACCTTGATGTGTGGAGAGGATTTTCGTCTCAATGATGGCGGATTCCCATTTCCTGCGTAACGGTGCTGAGTCTGTTTCACGAGGATATCCACATCTCGAGGTTAGTCCTGGGATCATCCAGTCACTGGACACGTAGCCTGTCCTGGATTGAAGGGCTACTGGCGGTCTGGGATATGGCGTAGCACATGAGGTTAGAATCTCGAAGGCAGCGTGGGAATTTCATACGCTGTCTCCTCTTGCTGGAGCCACTTAAGCGTGGCGACAACTATTTGATCTGCAGAACTAAGGGCTGTTCTAAGCCAAGGTCATCTAGGAGTTCTCACAATAAGCCGGGGCATCGTCATACATTATGCTTCGCTGAAAATTAAAGTCAAAAAAAAAATAAAAAATCTGGGAGGCTAGGAAAAGCTAGCAGAAGCCGTGGTGGTATCTAATGGTGTAGATCCAAAGTACAAAGTGGAAGTTCCGATATGCGCCGGGTCCTTTTCCTTGCAATGTTGGCCTAGAATATCAGCACGGCCTACCGGATAAAGCATAATATTCTCAGGGCACGATAATTTTATCTTAAATCAGACATATTGTCTCTTCATCAAAATGCATGGACATGGCAAGGCTTCACAAGACTTAAATATGTGCCAGGCCCAAGCAAGAATATAACCCAGAGCCAGAGCCAGAGCCAGAGCCAAGCTGTCCGTGACTACCAGCACATGAGGGTAACCGTAGTATTCTAAAGTTTTTGCCACTCACCAAAAGATCACCGTGTGTAAAGGGCACCCTAGTGGCCACCAAACCTTTGGTAGCGCGGGTTTATTGTCACACATGTCCGGGTATGTGTTTGGTAGGAAAGCCCAGACAGCTAGATGTTAGCGGAATCTCGTTGCCATGTGGATTGTTCTCAGAAAATCCTCATTTGTCCCAAATGTATGCATGCGAGATCCCACCGCTGCAAGGATAGCGGAGCATCCGTTTTCACTCGCACGTGGTCTTGGAGGCAGAGACAGATAGTGTAATGGGTGATCAGGTGACACTGGTCGCAGTGCGCGTGTGGACCCCGCAGACCGCCACTCATGGATGAGGCTTCTTCACACTCCCCTGGGCCTCCTCTCTAGCAGATCTCAATATCTCCCAGCGGGCGTATCTGGTTCGCAGACAGATCCCCCACTTTAGCATGTAATAATATACGGAGGGAAATGATTGGACATATGGCCAGTCGGCTCGTGCAACTATTTTACCATCTGTATAGAGTCATCTATTCAAGAGCTAGCGGCCTTGTATTTCGTTGAGCAACTGAGGGTTAGCCTGCTCTCAAGGTCACTAATATCAATTGACTGCAGAAGATAAAGACCGGCGAGAGGACACAAGCGATTAGTACAAATGTAAGGATTATTCAGAGGACAGTTACCCATCATACTGCTTTTTAAGATTCTATCCGGCTGTTATTTCAAAATGA